TTAGTTCTCTTGGCTTCTCCACAGGCCGGCTGTAAAGATGTGCTGTATTCTGCTTTCTTCATTCAGTGTGCTGCAGTCCCCGAGTTAGTGCTATATCCTGTTGGGCCCCGTCTGCCTGTCCTTAAATTCCTGGGGTCCTGAAGGCTGAGCTGCGGGAGGCTTGATGCTGCCTGATCCCAGGGTGGAGGGGAGATGGTGCTGGTGAGCATTAAGGTGCTTCCCAGGGAGGGAGCAGTTCTGAGGACATATTTTCAGATGAAGAAAGCAAACCTCAGAGAAATTAAATAACTTTCCCAAGATAATACGAGAGGCCAGGGCGGGATGTCAAACCAGTTGGGTCTGATTCCAAAACCAAAGTTCTAGGTATTCCAAGGTGGGCCTTTAGGAGCATGCTGGAGTGGAGATGTGGACTTGGGGCGTGGGGCGGGAGGGGTGCTAGACCTGAGGCCTATCTTCTGAAAATATTTCATCGGGGACATATTTGTGGGGCCTCGTTCCCACAGAGCGTGTCTGAAGAGGTGAGACCGCCGACTCCCTGGGACCCATGTCCTCGAGGTCTCTAGGAGGGGTGAGTTGTGTCAAGGCCACAGAAAGAGAAGCTGCAGGGTGTGGAGGGAGTGTGGAGGGTGGCTGGAGGGGGAACTGGGCCTCAGGGTTGGGGGCACATCTCTCCCCTCCCCTTCTAACCCTCTCCCTATCCTCAGCGCCCGTCCCTTGCCCTCCCTCAGGCTGTTCTCGAGGTTGTGTCTCTGTCCAGCTTCCTTGGGAACAAGGTAGACATGGAGCAGGGCAAGGCACAGGGATGCTGGGATTTTATGCTAGGGACTGACATTATTTACTGCGTCAGTCCTAGCTCTCGTTTCTTTCCATGTGAAACCTGACCCCCTTCTGTTACCTTTCTTCATTCCTGTGGTGTCGGTCACCATGAGACCTCTGTAGCCACAGCTCTAGTGGCCGGAGTGGATAGTGGTCAGTTACCTCGAGTTGCTCCATCCCTGAGCTGGGAAACTGCGGCTGTGGGCAGAGGGGGCAGCCTTAGTGGGCAATTCAGAGCATCAGGGAGTGATGAATCCTCATCCCAGAGCCACTGGCAGTGAGCCCTTCAGGGCAGGGCTGGCTCCAGCAGGGCACTGTCACTCCTCAGCGCCCAGATCAGTGTCAGTATAAATGGGGCGCTGTGTGTGTGACATGTTAGGTCAAATGCTAACCCCCAAAATTTTGTCCATGCTTGGGCTGACATTTCTGATTCTGGTTTTCATATTTTGGACATGGACCCCTAAGGTCCCCCAAGATTTTCCTGGGGAGGTACCACCATGTTTCTCACATAAGACATAAGCATGGATATTCATAAGCAGCTGTGACCCTGCACTGGACACCCTCAGGGCCTGACCCTGCGCTGGACACCCTCAGGGCAAGGACGCAGAGGCTGGCCGGGACAGGCCTAACAGGGACTCTGCCTGCTGGGTGGTAACACAGATTGTCTTGCTCTGTTGCTGCTCTGCCTGCTGAGAAGGCTGTGGTGGTGGCGAATATGTGCGGGGTATGGGGGAGTCTTGCTCAGAAGGCCCTTTGCAGTGGAGCTGGCTCCTGAGCCTGATTCTAGCTGCACCCTCAGGCAGCTCTAGATCTTCTCTTTAGCTTCACAGAGTGATCACTTTATGGAAACTGAGGTAGCAATGGCCATTTTGACAACCTTCACTTTATTATAAGTGAATCTGAACCATCACCCAGTGGATCTCAATCCTGAGAGATTTTGAATATCAAAATCACTCAGAAGTTAGGGAAACAAACAAACAATAGTTTCCTGGGGCCCCTTCCCTGGAAGACTAAGTCAGTAGGGGCTTGAGGTGAGGGCCTTGGAATCTGTCATCTTGATCAGTCCCAGGTGATTCTGACCAGTAGCTGAGAACAGGGGCTGGTGCTAAATGTCATTTTTACATACAATCCTCACACACAGACTGCCCTCTGGTTAGATCCCAGGCAGGGTTGGGTGGGGCTGCAGTTTTGCTGCCCCTGTGGCCTGGACTCCTTTGTTTGCTCTCATTCAGGTGTGGAAGGTCCCTCCCTGCGGTGGAAACTTTCCTGCTGGACTTTGCCAGAAGCAGTCACTTGCCAGTCTCCACAGGCTCTCCCCGCTCACTGGGCGAGGGGTAGAGGTGGGGCCTTCTGCCACTTCTCTGAGGAGAAGTACCAGGGCTCGTGGCCCCTCCCGGCTGCTCGTCACCACTGTGTGGGCCTGTTCTTACTCCAGCAGCCACCACGCGAGGATGTGAGGAAGATTCTCCTCGGACAGCCTGAGTGGCAGCGCCATCAGACTGGGCAGGGGCAGTGGTGGCGGCTGGAAGGGGCTGGAACCTCTATTTGGCCAGAGGGTTGCTAGGAGCTGCTCCCCCTTCTGGGGCCTGAGTGGGGATGGTGGCAGCGGGCTGGCTTCCAGAAGGAAGGCAGGTTTTCTCAGTTCCTGAGTTGGGATTTGTCGCTCAGCAAAGGGAGTTGGCAGATGCTGCCCCATCCCCAGATGTTGTCTCGAGAGACAGCTTGTGTCTAGAAATTGGGAGGTGCGGGCTCCGCCCCTGGTTTTATCTCTGCTCGGCTCTGCCATCTACCTCTTTACCTGTCAGGGTGAGGCTGGGTCACCACTATCTCAGCAAAGAATTTATAAGTTGTCTGAAGTTGCAGAATTCATGGGGTGACCCTGGCAACATGGAGAGAAGGTGAAGTTAAGTCACAGACAGGAGCGATGACTGGCCCCAGTGCTTAAGGGGGACTGGGGAGAGACTTGGGGGGGGCCAAGTGGTCATCACAGGACAATGAAGTGGCTGAGAGGTCGGTCAAGGAGGTGGGAATGAGGGCCAGGAACTTCATGGAGACAGGGGCAGGCTTGTCCTGAAGGGAAACCAGGCAGCTGCCCAAGGACGGTTTTAACTGCAAGCTGTTTATGGAAACACAGAGCAGAGTCAGAAAATGAGAGAAGGTGACCAAAACATGATCACCATGGCACCTGCGACCCAAACACACAGTTGTCAATGTCACCCCACCTGTTGCACCCAGGAGATGGAAAATTCAAATGTAAAACCTGATGGTCACAGGTTAGGAGGCAGGAGTCATCTGGTTGTCTCTTACTCGATGGTAGCTGGCCCCAAACTAGGGACTTGCACACAGTGACAAGTGTCCTTTTGTTATAGAGCAACGCCGATATTAAACGGGTTTCTGGCTGTGGGTCCTCACCCGCGCGCTTTAAAGGGACTTATGAATACTCTACTACAGACACACACAAAAGGTTAATAAAAGGTTTATTTACAAGAGAAAAAGAAATAAGGAAAATGTACAACTCAGGGAGAAAATAGGGAAATAAAGTCTTTAATGCGTCCTACCCGATCCGACGACCTGGAAACCCAAAGTCACTCTCAGAGCTGGCCGGACGCTGCGAGCTGGTGGAGAGTCAAAAATGGGGGACCCCAAAGCCCACGTGTCTGCCTTTTGTATCCACCTGGCTGCTTAACCCCACTCTCAGGTCCCAGCCACCTTCCCTTTGGTGGTGATGGGATTTGGAGTTCCCAGTGTCTTTGGCTTTGACCTGGGGTGGGGGTGGAGTCCACAAAGCCTGTATGGAATTTGCTTTGGGACATCCTTTTCCCCCTAACACTTTCTCACAGTGTCTGTTGGAACCTCCGCTGTCCTTGGCGGGGCTGCTCAGACTCGGCCTGCTGTAGTTACTGTCCATGCGCAAACAGGAGTTCAGACAGGACACCGGACAGGAAAAGAAATGACAGCGAAGGCCAGACAAGCAGAGACATGGAAAGATGAAACAAGAATTTATGTTCAAAGAAATAAATGCATTAGGGCCTCCCTGGTGGCGCAGTGGTTGAGCGCTGGGTTGCAAAGCTGCCCGCAGCCTCTGCAGCACCGGTTCAATCCCCAGCTGCTCCCCGGCCAACAAAGGAGGGTCCCACATGGTGCGCAGACCTCTCCTGCCGCTCGCTGCTCCCCTTAGCAGTGTACCTGGGTCCTTCTGCCTGCTCTGCTCCCCGCTCTGGCTCTGGTGAATTCTCTCACCCTCCTGCGCTTCTGACTATACCCAGTGCTTGTATGTATCAATCAATAAAAATCTTTAAAAAAAAAAAAAAGCGAAATTTAAAAAAAAAAAAGAAAGAAAGAAATGCATTAAATTAATTTGATTGTGAACTTCTGTTGTTCCTGTGACGGGATGTAAAAGGGAGAGACCGCATAGTCAAAAGTGAGGAACAAAGTGGCAGGCAGGTGGGAGGCGTCTCTCCCTAGAACCATCTATGGTCAGTGCTGAGCGAGCGAGATGCTGTAGCCAAGGTTGTTAGGCAAATCCCTAAAGCGATGGTTTGATACTTACTCTGACAGTCACACGGGCGCCGCCTGGCTCATCTACATAATAAAAATCCCATAGAATTAAAAACAAACCAGAAAGAAATTGAGAGCTGGTTTTGGGGGAGCCCCCACTGGATGCCCCACCAGAGACAAATGGTGAGTGGAGTCACAAGGCTTGACGTTCATCCTGCGCTTCCAGGCGGCTGGCAGGAATGGGTTTTTGAAGAATGTAGAAGCTGATGGAGAAACAAAGGGTCAGCCGCCCCCTCCCCTTGGAAACTTCCACCTGGTGCGGAGATGTCCTTGTCAGGCCGTGAGCCGGCCGGCCCCTGGGTTCTGCTGACGCTCTTCCTAATGAATTCTGCTCACAGCCAGGCGGCCTGGACGCTTGGAGACTTGGAAGCCGCCGACAGAGCATAAATGTCAGAACAGACGTGCCCCTCGGTCCCCTGAGAGATGTCTTCGCTGCAAGGATGCTCTAGCTCCTGGGGGCGGACTGCAAAATGGTGTAGAAAGAGTTTGCTTTTTATTTGCACTGACCCCTCCCTGCCCTCCTGCCACAGGTCCCTGGATGTTACAGGCTAGGGCCCTCCGGACCCCCAGGACTGTGCTCACAGCCCAGGAAGCGGCTGCTGCTCTGGACGATCTTCAGGCGCTTTCTCTTCCTAGATGGGCACCCGTGATGCCATCTCCCCAGGTAAGGGCTCTGAGATTGGCCATGGGAGCTGGGATTCTCCCAGGGTCTCTGTTCTGCCTGGGAGACGGGGCCAGGTGGTCGGGCCTTTGCATCCCCACCCAGCTCTCTGACGCTGGCCTTCCCTGCTCAGCTTGCTGTCTCAGCGGGGGGGGGGTTTCTCTGACCCCTGGAGGGGCTCAACATGTCCTAGGGACTTGGCCTGAGTGTTGCCTCCACTCTCTGAACTGGGGGGCTGGCTGAGGGACTACCTTTCTATAGCGGGAGCATGAGGGTAGGCAGGGGCTGTGGGCGGGGGCCGTGGGCCCGGCCTCAGGGTGGCTGAGGGTCTGCTTTCCTCGACTGACAGGGCGGGAGAGTGGAGCAATGAGACCAGCTGAGTGTCCAGAGACAGACTTCTAGGTCTGGCGCTGCCCCTGGGGCTGGCTGTGTGAACCTCAGTTTCCTCTCGAGAGTGACAGGGTGGCAGGTCCTGCCTCAGATGGAATGGGTGATTGTGAGGTGGAGAGCTGCCTTTCCCTGGTGGGGTGGGGGGCAGGGGCCAGGTAATCACTTGGAGGGGGCATGTAGAAAACTCTGGAAAGCCAGAACAGTGTAGGAAAGAGGCCGTATGTTCTGGCAGCGCCCTGGGGGTATGATACATTAACGTGAGCAAATACGTGGGTCAGTGCTAAATCAGATCCTGCCTGACATTCGATTCTCATGGGGAAGTGGGAAGTGCTGAAGGCTTAAAATAAATCTAAAAATTTAGAATAGAATGAAGATGTGAGTATATAAATCCCTGGTCCTGTCCAACCCCTTTGTTTTGCTGATCTGAGAGTGGAGACCGTGGGGTTGACTTACTTCCTCAAGGTCACACAGGTGGCAGGACCAGGATGGCAGCCCAGGCCACTGACTCCTGGTCCGGGGAGTGTGCATGGCAGGGTTTCCACCTTTGTGCAGGCTTCTCTAGATGTGGGGGCCAGGGACCCACCACTGCACGGTCCTGAGGTGTGCCTAGGAGGGGCTGAGCCACAAATGAGAAGGGCCAGTGGTTCTGCTGGCAAACGTTTAAGTGCCTACTGACCACAGGAACCGCAGAGAGGGAAGAGAAGGCCCAGGAGGCCCCTGCACCCCCCACCCCCGGAAGCAGGGCCCAGGGCTGCTCTGGGGAGGGAGGCAGGAGAGCAGGGAGTGTAAGATGGAGGTGAGTCTGGTGCCTGGGAGCACCTGGGTGAGACAAAGCTTCTTAAAGGGGTGGACTCTGAGCTGAGCTTCCCCTTCCTCTTTTCCTGACTCTCAGCTCAGGGGCCCTTCCCGTGGGAAGCTTAGCCTGTTTCCACCCCTGGCTGGGCTTGCTGCTCCCACACTGTCGTTGCTTGTTACTCCTGGTCTCCCCTGAGGACCGAGCTGGTCTTGCCCACAGCGTGTCACAAGGACCGTGAGGGCCAAAGTCCCTGACGCAGGGAGGCGCTTGGAAAATGTGTGCGGTGGGACAGATGATGCTGTTAGCTGCTTGGGGAGGTTTAGAGAAGATGAAGGGTCAGTGAGGACAGGCCCATGCGGTGCTGGGGGCTCTGGGGAGCAGGGAGGTAGGAGGTGACTCGATGCTCTGCCTGCCAGTGCGGGGAGAGGTGAAAGTCAAGGCCAAAGTTAGAGTGTTCTCTCCGAGGGTGACAAGGTGTGGCCGTGGGGAGAGCGCCCTGTGAGAGCTGCTGGTGTGAGGTGGGCAGTGGGGAGGGTCAGGCCACCAGGGTTCAGTGTTTTTTGGTGGGGGGTGGAGGACCCATGAAGGAGACTGAAGGTGTAGTCAGGGGGCTGGTGCAAAGCCAGGAGGGAGACGGGCAAGCTGAGAGAGGACAGAGGGGGTCAGCAGGCTGGGAGGCCTGGGGAGCGTGGACGGTGAGCCCTGGTGGTATCCTGGTGCTGCCTGAGGGGGTTGGGGTGGTGGGGCCCTGCCCCGGGGGGGAAGGGGGCACAGAGTGCCCAGGCTGTGTGTCCCAGGCCTGGTCTTAGAGGACTCTAAGATGCTGCCTCCCCATGGTGCGTCCCCAGCCAAGGTCCTGGCTCCGGTGGCCGTGTACTGTGGGAGTGTCCCACGCTCCAGCGCCCGGCCCCGTGTGCTCCCAGACGGAAGCGTCGCCTCCGGCCTGCAAGTGTGTGGAGAAGGTGAGACGGAGGGACCTGCCCTGGGCCGCCTGGTGGGGACTTTTGTAGAAAATGAGGAGTTCTGCTTGGCAGCTGCCCAGTCAGGGCTGAAGCTGGGCCTTGTCTTGGAGGGAGGGGATCAGTATGCTGGAGGCCTGGCTGTGTTCTCACAGCGGGAGTGAAGGGCTCAGTGCCCAGCTGCCCTAGGAGCCCAGGGCTGTCCCGGGAGCCAGGAAGCTGGGCTGGCTGTCCCTTCCTTTGGGACCTGGACAGACATTAGCATCTGGGGTGCCCAGGGCGGTGGGGGAAGTGGACCTTCTAGCTCCACAGCTGCAGCATGATGGTTATGAGGTCACTCAGGAGCCCACCTCTTTTTGCCCAGTCACTTTCCATGTTAGCTTCCCCTTCCAGCTACGGACTGTCTTCCCTGCAGGGCTCCCATCCCAGGCTTGGATGGAGTAGGGCTTGTTCTGATTATTCATCCTCTCTCAGGCCAGTCCCTTCCAGCTCTGTAGCTGGCACCAAGTTTGGTTTTCTCGGGGCCTGGGGCCAGGCCCAGGCTGGTGTCTGTGCCCGGGTGCCGGGTCTCCCGGCGAGGTCGTGGCATTCCAAGCGGAGCCGCGTGCGTGGCAGAGAATCGGAGATGGGTCTGTTTGTGTGCTTTCCCGCCGCTCCACGGCTGGCCTCTCCAGGTCCAGGTCAGATGCCACCACTCTACGAAGGTCCCCGACTCCTCCTCCTCTGCCCGCGCAGAGCTCTCTGTCGCTGCCTCTCCCGATGGGCGTCACCTTTAAGAATGTGTCTTATTTTGCAATAAAAAGTCCTTTAGTGGCAAAGGCGTTTCCTCACCTGGCTCTGTGTCCCCACCGCCTGGCACGTGCTCTGTGCTCAGGGACTGTGTTGAGGGAGTGATCACATAGACCAGGGGCTGCAGGGATTTGTTCAGAATCACCGGAACTTCTCTTGTCACTGGGTCTGGTTGATGATCATCTTGGGAGAGCTGGTTCGATGCTGGAGATCGGGAGGTGGTGGGCTCTGGGCAGAAGGCCTTCCCTGAGTGTGTGCGGCCTGTCGTCTGCGTCCTGGTTCTGCTTGTCGCCCTGAGCGGCTCGGGACACAGGTCTTGTCAAGGTGTGGTGCTTCGTAGGTAATGTTGAACTCTGAAGAGCCCAGAGTAACAGGCACCAAATGGCGGGGCTCAGCACGTTGGTGCTCCAAGGTGGCTCCAAGGTGGCTCCAGGCCTCTCCTGCCTCTGTCTCCTTCAGCATCCCTCCAGCCGACAACAAATGTCCTGCTGGACAAGACTTCGCAGCTCTTGAATGGACATGGGGACCCTGAAAATCTTAAGCTGGATGCCCCCCTAAAAGGCTGGCAGGCCAGGAATGGCCACCCCAGGGACCTTGGGATCCCGTGTCTGGGGCCCCACCCCCTGAGGCCCCTCCCCCTTCTGGAGTCGGAAGCCAACAGTGTGGCCCGGGACACCATCCAGATCAAGGACAAGCTCAAGAAAAGGAGACTCTCAGAGGGCCTGGCAGCGTCCTCCCGAGGTGAGTTCTGGCTCCTATCTACTGCCACCCCTTACCCCATCCTGAGCTCAGGCCACCAGGCTGTGAAGAGCAATAGGCAGCCAGCTGGCATGCTGGGGTCCATTCAGACTGGTTAGGGGGCACCGGACAAGAACCCTCTCTTTATACCCTCAGCCACTTCCCTGGAGACCACCCCCTCTAGGCCTTTGTAGGAGTCTCCCACGGGCCTTCGGTTTCTACCCTTGCTCCTTCTCTTCTTTGCTCTAGAAGAATTATTTTTGCACCAGGTCTGATCATATTCTCCCTCACACTCCCACTGGCTGTGTTTCAAATCACCCAGGGGTGGTTCAAGTTGCTCCTAGATGCTCACACGTGCTGGCAGCCCCCGCCTGTCCCGGCCTGTGCTGTGCTCCCAGGTGGTCTGTGTCTCCTGGGTCTGTGCTGTGCTCTCTGCTGGACAGATACCGGCTGGTCAGTTCTGGAGCAAGGCTCAGGCTCTGGGCTGCCCTCCACCGCTCCCTGTTCCCCACAGGCTCATCCCCCGCTGCTCCCCTTCTCTTAGAAGCCTGCCTCAGGGCAGGGCGGCCTCCCTGACCCCATGTCTGAATCTGTCCCAGTGAGGTTCTAACAACGCCCTGTCGCTTCCTCCCTTTGCTCTTTTCATGGTTTACATTTATTTATTTACTTACGGGATTATTTGTTTAAAAACTGAACCCTCACTTGGCCATAACCTCCACGAGGGCGGAATAGAATCCTGGGTGCAAGGCAGAGTGGCGGGGTATGCGGGGGGTTCTCGAGAAAGGTGTGTTGAGTAGTGAGCAAAGGACCAGGCAGCGGGCACTTACCTCCCCCTCTCATCGGGGGCTGGAAGACCAGGTGGACGGGCCAGGTTCCGATCTTAGCCCTGGTTCTCACGGGCTCTGGCTATCTGGGCGTGTCAGGAACCCCGAGAAGCCTCCACTTCCTCCTCTGTGTAGTGAGGACACGGATACTTCTGTGTCCCTGAGATGGTTCAAAGGAAGTTGTACTCAGAATTCACAGCACCTGGCTCATGGAATAACTTGATAAATTGTTATTCTTCTCTCTTCTGTGCAAATCGAAACTGGGTCTTTTTAAGCTCAAGGGATTTGGGAAATAAAAAGGAATAGGAAGACTGGAGGGCTTGGAGGAAAAGGGGGGCCTCCTTGCGAGGGTACACGGCTTCTATGTCCGACTTGGAGGAGTTTAATCGGCCCCTGAGCAGCTCGCTCCCTGGCTGAGGCCCCCCTGGAGCCCTGGAGCCGCCCCAGCAGTGGCCCTGTGGCTGGGTGTACTGGAGAAGTACTCGAATGTCCATCTGGGGCAGCTTCTGGAGCAGCCAGTCTGGTGAATCCCTCACTGTGAGATTTGAAACCTTTTTCTAGACATGGCATCTTTATTTTATTTTATTTAAACAAAGGAGGAGAGAAAGAACAGGAATTATTCCACTCAGCATAGGGATGGGAAGGCCTTGCCTTACCAGCACACATAGGGACAGGGAACCGCGGCCCCTGGGCGGGGCGGGGCTGTCCTTGACGCCTCTGCTGAGGCTGTGTTGGCCCCTCTGTGCCCCTGCCCAGGTGGAACTCGGAGTAGACATGGGGGAACACAGACTCCACCCTCCCGCACCTCCATCCCCTCAACACACCATCAGGACTGACCGGGACAGCGGTGCTCAAGGGCAGAGCAGAGCCTCCCTGGGCCGGGAGGGGGTGCCTGGAACTGAGAACCTATTTCGACGTGGTTGTTTGAAATAATTATTTTTGCTATAGCTGGAGTAAAATGGCCTTCCCAAGTTAAATACAGTCTTTTTTCTGCTACCACCACCGATATTTGCAAAGATAATCCCGAGTTCTTGGACTATCCCTGTGTCTTCCCATAGGGGTGCCTTGGGAATGCTGTGTTTGAGAGGATGGGGTGGGGTAGTGAGGATTCCTTTGGCCCCAGAAGGTATTTTTTTAATTATTTTTTATTTTATTATTTTTTTAAAGATTTATTTATTTGTTTATTTGTTTGTTTGTTTGTTTATTTATTTATACAAGCACGGGGTAGAGTCAGAAGCGCGGGAGGGTGAGAGAATTCACCAGAGCCAGAGCGGGGAGCAGAGCAGGCAGAAGGACCGAAGTACACTGCTGAGGGGAGCAGCGGGCGGCAGGAGAGGTCTGCGCACCATGTGGGACCCTCCTCCGGTGGCCGGGGAGCAGCCGGGGATCGAACCGGCGCCGCAGAGGCTGTGGGCAGCTTCACAACCCAGCGCTCAACCGCTGCGCCACCAGGGGAGGCCCAGTATTTTTTTTTAAAGATTTATTTATTAATGCATACAAGAACTGGGGTACAGACCAGAGGTGTGTGTGTGGGAGGGTGAGAGGATTCACCAGAGACAGAGCGGGGAACAGAACAGGCAGACTGAAGAAATACACTGCTGAGAGGAGCAGGCAGGCAAGATAGGAGAGGTCTGCTGTGCCATGTGGGTATCTCGCTGCGGACAGCTTCACAGCACGGCGCTCAACCGCCTGTGCCACCAGAGGAGGCCCCCCAGAAGGTATTAACAGAAGAGCTGAAAGGGCAGTGGCCTAGCATTTAGACTAAGTCAGAGGGTCCCTTATGTCAAAATGAATGCACCCCCTCCCCCCATCACTAGCTGAAAAGGAAGTGGGCAACGGAAGTAACTGACCAGCACCTGTCATGTGCAGGTATTTTCTTGGCATTTTATTTATTTATTTATTTTAAATTTATTTATTTATTTATTTATTTATTTATTTATTTATTTATTTATTTATTTATTTATTTATACAAGCACTGGGTACAGTCAGAAGCATGGGAGGGTGAGAGAATTCACCAGAGCCAGAGTGGGGAGCAGAGCAGGCAGAAGGACCCAAGTACACTGCTGAGGGGAGCAGTGGGCGGCAGGAGAGGTCTGTCGCGCCATGCGGGACCCTCCTCTGGTGGCCGGGGAGCAGCCAGGGATTGAACCGGCGCTGCAGAGGCTGCAGGCAGCTTCGCAACCCAGCGCTCAACCGCTGCGCCACCGGGGAGGCCCTTTCTTGGCATTTTATACCAGGCAATAAAGGCTGGCACCCTTACAAGCGAGGTCGTGACTCTTCACGATGACCCCATGATATGGTCACTTTCACTTTACAAAGGAGCAAATGGGGACTTACCCAGGTCACACAGCTTCTAGCCAGGACCAGAACCCACTCTCCCCACTCCTAACCCACTATTCATTTCTTTCCCTTCCTCCCCAACGTGCCTCTGAATTTTAAATAGGTGACTCTCATTGGCACTTTCTACCAAATTTTTCTGGATCAGAGAAAACACTCAGCTATGTCTGCTTGCTCAGTCTTGTGGTGGGGTGGGCTGGGGTGGATCTTCCCTCTGCCCTCTTCCCTCTGCCCCAACCATCCCAGCTTTCCCTGGGACGTAAGACCTTGCTGTCAGCATCTAAATTGTCCCCCCCCACTCCCATGCTCCTAGAACTAACATTTTCCTGGTCCCCACCATGTACAGCTTCTCTGGATCCAGGGGGAGGCCCCAAAGGCGTTCCCCTGAGGAGCACCATCCCCAGGGCCACCTCTCAGAGGCTGCTGAGGGTGCCCAGGCCAATGCCTCCCATCCAGAGCATCCCCACTACTCCCGAGAGCAGTGGAGCCAAGGAGAAGGGCCTGGACCCACCTGAGAGTGGTCAGGGTCCCCAGGAGCTGCGACCCGGTGCCCAGGAGGTAAGAAGATCCCACTGTCTGCCTCGTGCCTCCCTGGCCTCCAGCTTTCTCTCTGTCCTGCTGCAGACACATCCCAGGGGTTGCCCTCAAGCATGGGGGTGGCAATGGGAGGGGCCTGGGCCCTCATTGACCTGGGAGTTCTGGGTGGCTGCCCCAGAGGTGCCAAGCACCCTGAGGCATGACCGCAGGTCCTATGTCTGGCAGCCCCAGGTGCTCTCTGGTCTGAATGTTCCAGAATTCCTCTTGTCTCTGCCCTTGTCCATTTTCGGGAGCATGGTAGAGGGGAAAGAATGTGCGTGAGGACACAGGAGGCCAGGCCTCTGACTCCCCTCTGCCCCTCACTGGCTGTGTGACCTTGGGCAAGTTGCTCCCTGGGCCCCAGTTTGCACATCTATGGAAGAGGGAACCAGACCAGATTTGAAGATCCCTTCCAACTGTCATTTTTCTGAAATAAGGACAGAAAAATAATAACAACAAAAGCGGTTGGAGTGGGGGCGAGGGGACCTTTACCCTTTACCGCCTGGCATGGTAAGGAAACAGTGAGCTTTCAGGGGTGTCAGCACTGCCATCCCAGGTGGCTCCTGAAAGAAGGGGCCACCCTGTGTGTGGTGCCTGGGAGGAGAGCCCCAGGCCCAGAGCCCTCTCCCCTTCCCAGGTGCAGATCTCTGGGCAATACCTGCACTGCAATGACGAAAAGATGCACAAGTCATTGGGGGGCATTGTGATCCCGCCAATCCCAAAGGCTGGGGTCTCCTCCTGTGCCCCTGGCTCCCTTCCCAGCCTCTTGATTCCGGGCCAGGACGTCCTCACGGGCCTGAGGGCCCCCTCCACACGGTAAGTAGCCTAAACCCAGACCACCTTGCAGTCCTCTCTCCTGTTCGCTGCAGATTTCCCTGGGTTCTCTGTGACTGACCCTTCCTGCCAGGACAGACTCTGGGGACCAGATGTGTGAAGGACAGGGCTCCCCACCCATGAGCCACAGATCTGGGGGGGCCTCAGCATTGTTGCCCAGGCTCTTCTGGTCATTGTTGGACTTAAACAATGTCTCAGCCTCTCTCCTCCACCGGTTTCTTGGTGGCTGTGGTGGCTGCTATGAAGAGCAGAGCACACGTTATCTTACAGCTACCGGCATTGGGGGAGCTCTTTGCTTTTATGTATTTTCTTAATTAACGGAGGCTAGAAATACGAGCATTATTGTGTGGGGGCAGAGATGTGGGGGAGTAGTTCACAAAACTTTTGGAATTAAGATACCCCGTACCCTAAAAGGTTGGGAACCAGTGGGGTAGAGGACCTCTGTGTTGTAGTGAATCTGGCCTGGGACTTGTAAGAGGGACAGGTGGTGTTCTCCAGATGGCCACGCCATCCTGTGGTCAGTGCTGCCTGATTTTGGAGCAAATGTGTGTATATGTGAGTGTGCTTGTGCGTGTGCATGTGTGTGTGTGTGTGTACACACGTGAGAGAGAGAGAGATGGCAGGTACTTAGGGCCTGTGGGCCTGGCTCAGCCTGCAGACCATGTGGCACAGGCGGGTGCCTGCTGGGACCCCCGGTTTCCCATTCCCTTGGGCTTGATCTGCTGAATTCCTCCACATCTCTCAAGCATCTTTGCGCTCCCCATCGCCTGTGCTGCAGTCTCTTCTGCGCGCTCCTGTGCCCCCTGCTTTCCCTGCTGGAGTGTGGCAGCCCGTCTACGGACCTGCTCCTGGATTTGACTTCTCTGCTCAGTTTTCACTGTTCAGCCTCCTCGAACAGTGGCCTGCTCCTTCGGCCTTTGCTTTCTCACCAGCAGACGTTCTTTCTTCCCGTTCTCCCCAGGCGCCTGCCTCTTTCTCCTTCTGAGAGGCGACCTGGTGGATTTCGCGACCCTGTAGCTCCAGAGCAGCGGCCTTTCCTATCATCTCGTTGTACTCGATTTCTTTGCATCATTTGAGCAGTTGGTACCCTTGAACGCTTCTCCTTCCCGCCTCCCCGACCTTATACCTGCTCCTTGACCTTCCAGATAGCCTCCTGTGCGCACCTGCTTTCATCCTTGCTGAATCTGTTCCAGGGTCCTTTCCTCCCTGTCTCCCTGGGGATCAGTCTAAGTGGTGGCTTCCAAGATCTCATGGGGTGGTAACTTCTGCACCCCTTATTCTGCCCCGATGACTCTGAAGGTCAGCCTTGAAGTTTCCATCCTCCTGGTGGGCACCTATGGCGGATGCAGGTCCAGCATCAAAGGGGTAAGGAGGGAGAGAAGATGGGCCACCGCCACGGTAGCACGAACAGAACCCCTCACATTTCCTTAGAAGGTCTCCTCATTTTCATGAAGGGGGTGGCATTGTCTCTGATCTTTCAGTTTTACCATTATCTGTGACTCTTGTTCCATCCATCCACCCTTGCATTCCTTTACTCATTTTAAATGTATTAAGTACCTACTACGTGTCAGGCACTGTGACAGATGCTGCAGAGACAAAGCCAAACAAGACACAGTCTCTGAGTTCTTGAGGCTATGGGAAAGATTTAGAAATAAACCATTAATGGAAATTCTGTGAGATAAGTACTAAGATAGAGACTGCCCATCCTGGGGATCCCAGTGGAACTTGGTCTCAATCAGTCTGGGAAGACTTCTTGGAGGAGGTGAGACCTGTCTGAGTTTTGAAGACTGGGGGAGAGTGTGCAAAATACAGAAGCAGGAGGAGGGGCTGGGATGCTTGGTGGAGAAAGGCAGACACTGGTGGGTGCAGGCTGCCTTGGCTTTGGTCTTTTCTGCTGAGGGATTGCTAGAACAGGGAAAGAGGGAGTCTTTCTCAAGGTCCACCCTTGAAGGAGGTAGCGTCGCCTGCTCTGAGGCCAAAGAGGGAAGATAAGCAACATCTGACTTGAGGTGAAAGGGCAAACAGGGCCATTGGCAGGTACGGTCAGGTCAGGGGGAAGGAAGCAACACCTGGGATTCTTGATGCCCTGTGCCCACCTCAGGCAGAAGCCTCCCATGTGGGTCCAGATCCAAGACACCGTGTCTGTCCAGGAGCAGCACTGAGTCCTGGCAGGGCCAGGTCCGCCTGGAAACTCTACCACTTCAGCAGACTTAGGGTCCTCCAAGTCCCCTCAGACAGGGGTCTCTTGGGTCAGGCAGGCCCTGAAGTCAGCTCCCCGGCTGCCTGCCCTCCAGCCCACCCCAGCCTGAGTGTGCTTCTGCGGTCAGGGTTTGTCTTTTCGTGGCTTGTTACCCTGTCAGCCCCCAGAGGGCTCTCGTGTCTTTATGTGTCTCCACTGAGGAGAGAAAATCCACGCTGAGTCATACAGAACTGCTCTTCACTGAAAGTCAGCTCCGTGAGGGCAGGGATTGCTGTCTGCTTGTCTAGACACTCTGCTCCTGAACGGTGCTCAGCACATAGTAGGTCCTTGCTAAATATCTGTTGAATGAGCAAATAGTGCTGCCTATTTTGAAATTACAATTAAACTCGGTGCCAGGGAGGCCCTCATCTTTCCTTTCTGTGGGTGGTTTAGGGGTGGAGCTCTTGTATGAAACAGTGGGGGTTTCCCATCAGCAGCAAAGGGGGTCAATCCCTCTCAAGTGGGGGGACACGGGAATGGGGCTTCATACCCTGAGGAGGAGGGCTTGAGAGGTCAATGAGTCTCACGGGGTGGGTGCAGTTTGGAAGACCTGAGCTCAGTCTTCTCCAAGCTGGGGGACCCACACTTCTGCTGTCTGGTGTCCCTGGAGGGAGGAGCTTCCTTCCCAATTGACTAGTCCCCCCTGGATGCAGCTTCCTGGGCTGCGTAGCCTGAAAATGGACCAGAAGCCGTGGACACTGGCCTGGCCTGGTCAGCTGCCCTTGAGTTTGTGGAAGGAGCTGTGTTTCCCACAGCTTAGAACCCCCTTTACAGGCTCATCCTCATCCCTCCACTGCACCCCATCTTGCTTGGCTTCTGCCCATCCTGGAGCTGTCCCCTCCCCCTCGCCCCCCCCAAGGCTCTCCTGGCCATCTCTCATGGTTCTTGTCTCTCCCCCTTTCTTTTAAGATTGGTTCGGGAGAGTGGGCCTCGGGAGAAGACCCCTAAATCTCTGGGTACGTACCCTCCTTGCACACCCCCACTTGTTATTCAACTTTGCATCCCCGGGGCAGGACTGGGGATCCAAGTTAGGGCCCGAGGAGACCCGAGAGCTCTCGTGAGTGAGCCCCTCATCTTAGGCCCGGGAGGCTGAAGACCCTGGCAGGGCCTCGTGCCAGCTCATGTGGCTTCAGATGACTCAGCCGGGAGAAGTGCTGTCCCAGTCTGACTGGCAGGGGCGGAATGGAGGCTGGGGGCGGGGACCATCTCCCTGTCTCGGAGGGGCCGCCAGCCTAGTCGCACCTGCTGTCAGGTCTGCGGCTCTCCTGCACGGTGCTTGGCAAGTGGAGGAGAGTTTCCCTGGCTGGAAGGAGTGAGAAGCTAAGCCACATCCCATAAGCCCCTTGAGCAACTGGTCCTGGAAATTTGAGTGTCAGGGAAACAGGGACAAATAGGTGGGGCTGGGCCAGAGGCCAAGGTGCAGAGAGGCTTTTGGAGAGAGAGGAGGAGGCTCTGTAGCCCGATGGCTCGGTGCCTGGGAGCTGAGTGGTGGGGGCTGCAGGCAGCTGCTGAGCTGTCTGGGAAGGGGTGGACTCTATCTAGCCCAGCTCCGGTCACTCTGCTGTGAGCTCAGCAGATGTGTCCGCTGGTGAGGGGGAGGCCGTTGCAAGAGGCCGGGGATCAGGACACAGCTGGCGGGGAGAGGCGGCCTGGCCCAGAAACCTCTGTGGCATTTGAGTTGCCCCTGCTCTCTCAGCTGTGGCGGGGTGCCCAGGCTGGAGAACCACACTGGCACCTTTCAGAGCTGACCCGAGGTGCTGCTGGAGGTGAGGCTGCCATGCATAGCTTCCCTCCTCTGCTCACTAGTCAGCTGCTCGAGAACCGGGCCCCCAGGGTCTGGGGCAGGTTGCTCTGCCAGGGCTACTAGGGTGTCTCTTGGAGGGCTAGGTGAGCAGGGGACACAAAATAACTAAGACCCGAAAGGCTCTGGGCCCTCCAGCTGTGAGCTGGGATGACACACCCAGCACTCAGGTGACGGCGGCGTCTGCCCATGTCTTGCGGCACCCCTGCAGTCCTGGCACTGGTCACTGGCACCTGTGTCCTCTGCCCTGCCTCGCACTTCTGGCGGCTTTGCCCCTCCTCCCCCTTCGCCTTGGATCCTTCTCTGGGTTCTGTAGGGTTTCCCTGCACCAAGCAGAGAGATCCTCACAGAAGACAAGGGCTGAGCAGCAGACTGGGGTGACCTGGGGTCCTACTGGAGCCTCCTACTCAAGACACTGTTTGCAGCCTCCGGAAGCCCACGATGTTGACCCCTAGCTTGCAGGACCCCAACGTTCACCCAAGGACCTCCAAACTTTGTGGGCAAGAGAACCAGGTTAACCAGGTTAATTTCTTTGGTTACAAGACAAAAAATGAGCCCCTCCCTGTCACCCCCACCCTTGCCTCTATGACAATAGATTTTTATAAGAATAATCCTCTACGAGTATGATCTTTAGGATCAATTGACTGGGAAAATACAGACTGATGAGAAACCATGGAAGTGGAGGCATTTTATCAATCACAAGAGCATCGAAGGTCGCTGGTCTCGGCTTCCCACTTGTCACTGAGCAGATCGGGCCCCCCCATGAGTTCCCTGCGCGCTTCTTCTGGTCACGGTCCCAGACGGGCGCGTGGGGGCACAGAGCCGTGCGTCAGTGGGCTCGGCTTATTTTTTCTCTCCCTGAGTTGCTCTGAGGTAAGATAGATTTATATTCTCAGGAAACAGCTTAAATCTCTTAGAGGGCAGCTTTGTCCATTTCCTGCCCTGCTTCCTCCCACCCCCCGCTACTGTCTTCGAACCAGCTGGGCAGTCATTGCTGAGTGAACGAATGGCCGATAAATGAATGCAATGAAGAGGCTGTGGTCTCTCACTAGCCCGCTCAGGGCCTCCGAGCGCTTTTCTGTCAAGTCAATTTAACCCGTGTCTTTCTCCATCGCGAAGGCAGTGGACACAAGAATTGAGGGTAGAGGGCCTTAGCCAGTAAAATTTATACCAATTACAGGGGCACAGAACCTCGGGGAGCCCAGTGGGATGGCTGCTACCTCAGCTGGATGCTGGATGTCCTCAGCGCCATTCCTTTTTTTTTTTTTAAGATTTATTTATTTATGCATACAAGAGCTGGGGGGTACAGGCCAGAGGTGCTGGGGGTGTGTGTGAGAGGATTCACCAGAGACAGAGTGGGGAACAGAACAGGCAGATGGACCAAGGTACACTGCTGAGGGGAGCAGCGCGTGAGGTAAGAGAGGTCTGCCGCACCATGTGGGTAGTTCCCTGGCCAGCCGGGGATTGAACTCGTGCTGCAGAGGCTGTGGATAGCTTCACAGTGCTGCGTCTTAACCCCTTGCACCACCAGGGAGGCCCCTCAGCTCCATTCTTCTTGACTCCTCAGAGCCCAAACCCTTGGCCCTGCCCGTCAGAGACAGGCCTGCCGCCTCCGAAAAGCCTGCCTTGCTTTCATCTCAGTCTACTCCCTTGCTGTCAGCCTTCTCCTTCAACCTTGCCAAAGAAGCCCACCCCTTGGTGAAAGAAGAGGATCAGAAGGAGAGTGGCGCCAAGGTATCTGCAAAGCGGGGGGCAAGAGGACTTTGGGGACCACTGGCTGGACCCAGGCATGTTTCTGAAGGATGTCAGTGTGGGAGTGGCTTAGGAAAGCAAGGGGGAGCCCCGAGGCAGCTGCCCTAGTTTACAAGCCTGGAACTTGTAGGTGGGTTTGAGGTGGGGGCTGAAGTAAGAAGCGAGGAGGAGGTCAGGTGGGAGGAGCCAGGTCATGGGAGAGGACAGGGACCAAGGAGGAGAGGAAGATGCCACGCGGGGCTCAGAAGGAAGCAGGATGTGGGGGAGAGTAAAGAGGGGCTTAGGTGAGCCAAAGGGGGTAACTTGAACCAACACCCAAGATAGCAACCGGGAGCAGCTGACTCAGAGGCAGATCAGCCAAAGGCTGTGCTTGACAGGCTGACAAATACCCTGCACTTCAAAGGTGACCTTGGTCCAGACGATTCTCTTCCCTGGTCTGGATGAATTTAGTAAAACGTGGAGCCTGGCTGCGAGGGGACCCACGCTCATTCTTTGCCGCAGATGTAACACTGCGACAGGCACGTCTTGAAGGCCTGTGGGTGCGTGTGTTATGTTAGCCCTGGGACCCAGCGAGGGTGATGTTAAGGTCCGGGCACCAAACTTCCTGTGAGTTTTAGACACTTCAAAATAAGTTATAAAAAGCAACAATAGGAATATTTAGAAAAGTCCACCGCCTCTCTCCACCCCGGCCCCCAAATAAATGGAAGTCAGGTAATGCTCCTGCTCTCCCCAAACCCTGGTGGCTTGCTGGGGGTTTGCTTAGGCTCCTGCCCCAACTCCACCCCACAACCAGTGTCCTAGCTCTCCCTACTCAGAGTGGCCCTGCCAATATCCCTGCTGTGCCCAACCACGCTCCGTGCACCCCAGCCTCAGGGCCTTTGCATGCGGTGCTGCCTCTGTTTAAAAAACACTTGTTTCCTACAAACCCATGCTCCCTCACTTCATTCATGTGTCAGCTTACATGGCATCTCCTTAGGGAGCCCCCTGGGCCTTCTTAGAACAGAAGCCCCATCATCCTCTCTCTCTTGCTTCCCATTCGTTTGTCTTGCCTGGCTTTGAGACCGGGCAGTTTGCGGGCGCCCCACCGCATGGTGGCTCTCTGGGGCAAGGCCTTGCTGTTTGGCTCACTCCGCACAGAGCCTGGCCCCTCGGAGCCACTGACATTACTGACATGCAGATGAATGAAGGCGTGAGAAGCCTTTCTGGGTGGCCGAGGGTAATGGAGTTTGCTGGACCTTGTGCCAGATCCAGGTCACCATCTCCAAGTCTGCCCAGGAGAAGATGCGGCTGAAGCAGATGAAGGAGATGGAGTTGTTCCGGAGGGCAAGGGAGCCGGAGAGAGAGAGGGAGCTCGCTTCCCAGAGCCTGGGCTCCCGGAGGACCCTGATGAAGGAAGGTACTGGTGCCTGGGATGGAGAGACCTCGAGGCCAATGAGTTAACCAGAGGGAGTCTGTCTGCTGCTCCCCTGAGGCTGAGCAGGGCGTCACATGTGTCCTCGCAGCCTGCGGATGGGACACAGGCAGGTGACACGCCGGAACCGCCCCATCCTAACGTCTTTTGCCTCCACAGGCCTCCTCCCCCTCCGGGGCAGTGGGACCTTGTCTGTGCCCACGGGGATGAGCAGCCCACGCAGAAACAACTCGGGCGTCATCCTCAGGAGGCGGGCCAACCGGGCCTCGCTGCCCAGCATCCCTGTCAGCAAGCAGGAGCCCAGCTTCGCTCGCCATGCTTCAGGTGGGGCGCAGACCCAAGTGATTCCTTGCTGCTCCACCTGGGGGTGCTTTGGGGCATGGCAGAGGTGGCCTCAGCTGGTTCACTTCTGCCCACCACTCATGTCGGACTAGGGAGCACCCCAGGGTGTCAGAGAGAGGATCAGTGTCTGGGAGTCAGAGGGGTCTGTGACCCAGGTTGGGGATCTCGGCTCTCGCAGCGGGAATTGTGGGCGGCTGGCAGCTGTCCCCAGACTGGGCGACAACCTAGAGGGCCCGGCAGGGCACCAGGACCACAAATGTTGGGAAACAGCAGCCAAGAAAGTGGCCGACACACTGGAAAGAGGAAGCGAGGGCCTGGGGAGACCTTGGTTTCCTGCCTGTGGCCACCTGGGATGCCAGGCTGGACGGGGCTGGGTACAGACTGGGGTCAGACTGTCAAAAGTGTGTAGGGGCCACCTGGGATGGTGCCAGGGACAGGGGTTCTGTCCCCGTTCTGGCGAAGGCGCTCTGTGCTGCCTCACGTTCGGTGTCCTGGGTGTCCATGGGTGCTTTCATTTCAAAGATTCTGCTACTGAAGCACGTTTGCACGCAGCCAACCTGGTTTGGAGTCTCCTTAAGCGCGGGATGTGGTGGGATGGATGGGAGAAGAGAGCATCACTTGGGTGCTGGAGATAATACTGACTCACTTCCCATTTCAAGTCTCTTTCTATCCTTTTGGCTTCATAAAGTAGAAAGTCTGAGCTTGATGCTGGTCTTTAGCCCCCTTGAAGACGTGCTGTCTCCTTTTTCAATAAAGAGCCTCCTTTTGGCTCAGAGACGCCAGAAGCTGTCTGGGATTGTACAGCTAGAGTTTCTGATGTTTGATTTTTACTGTAAATATTATCATAGTTTATGGCAAATAATAATACCACCTACCATAACTTTACCAGGAGGCTGCCGGTCCTCCTGGTGAAATTCACTGCGTTGCTTCCTTTTCCGTGGCTGCAGCTAACTCGTTGCCTGCGGTACTCACGTTGGGGTCTCCTGAATGGGAAGAAGAGGAGGAGGAGATGGATCTCAGAGCCTTTAAGGAGCTGAGGCCTTTCTCGAACCCAGAGCTGGGGCTGGTGGATGCCCTCCAGTGCCTTGACAGCAGCGACTGGTGAGGACAAACTTCCCCTCGTGTGTGGCACTCACCCCGGCTGCCCCTCCTCTCCTGCAGGCCCTGGCCCCTGGGGAGGAGGAGCCCATGTGTGTGCTGGTGTGTGTGTCACCAGCCTCCCCTGTGTGCCCCAGGGCCCAGCATGTAGCCCCATGCTCTGCTCTCTGGCACAGCAGAAATTTGTGGCAAGTAGAAATTTGACCCCACCCTTCCTTAGGGGGCCTAAGAAATATCAAAGTCCTTTATTTCTCTGAATCAGTTAAATCTGCTCCCTGCTCCCACTGTCCCTCTCCTGCACCGGAGGACACACAGTTTGAGCCGTGAGCCCAGCGATGGGGTTTGGATGTCTGCGGGATGCAGACGTCACGTTCATGGGTCTCAAACCTCATGTTCAAGAGCTGCTGTTGCCAGCACAGCTTGGTGTTGGGTGTCGGCCGGGGTCCTGGGGGAGGGGGGGCATCCATGCCTTCTTACTGGATTGTCAGACCGTGGAGTCTATCGACCCCTCCCTGTTGTGGGTGAGAGGAGGGGTGGCGGTGTGGGCACCCCAGGGTGCATAGGGTGGGGGGATCCTCCCTCTCTCTGTTGGTGACAGAGCCTGGACTTGCTTCACAGGCAGATGAAGGAGAAGGGCCTGGTGAGCATCCAGCGCCTGGCAGCCTGCCACTCGGAGCTCCTCGCCGGGAGATTGCACGACGTGTCCCTGGCCGTGACGGGGGAGGTGAGCCTCCCAGGCAGGCTGTGTGCTGTGTGCCCTGCACCACCCAGCCAGTCCCCGACACTGGCACTGCCACTCAGTGCTCACACAGCAGCCACCGAGAGCCCAGCCACACGGGCACCCCTGCTCATGTCTCGGGGGGAAGGTAGCCACCACCTTACTGGCTAATATCTGGGTACAGAATCCCATGTGTCACAGCCCAGCTCTGTCCTCAGTACTCAGACACCCGTGGGGGGATGGAGTCTTCTGGCCAAATCTCTGACTTTGAGGTGGTTGTAGCATCACCCACGGCCTGTCTCCCCAGGGGCTGAGGTGGGGCTAGGAGGGGCCCAGAGGAGCACAAGATGCCTGTCATCATAGGCAGAAGCTGGGCCTCCTTGGGACTGGACTGTTCTAGTGGGGGACCCACTGGAGATCAAACTGAGCATTGCTCGTAAGAGTGCTTTGAGGACTAAGTGTTGGACCAATGTCAGGTGGCACGACAGATCAGTGATTGTGGTGATCACATTAATAGTGATCTTTTTCAGTGGGACTGTTTTGCCCAGAGCTGCTGCTGGCTTTTCATCCCCAGCCTGGCAAGGCCTGGGTATGGGGTAGGGGTGAGGTACATGGGGGTGCAGCTCCCCATCCTACATGTGTTCTGGCCCTGGAGGGTCTTTTCCATCTCTCTCCAAGGTCACCAACCTCCGCTCCAAAGTGTCCCGTCTGGCCATCTGTATCCTGGGGGACCTTTTCCGGGCCTTGAAGAGGAATATGGACCAGGAGGCTGAGGAGATTGCGCGCTGCCTGCTACAGAAGATGGGGAACACCAGCGAGTTCATCCAGAGAGCAGCCAACCGGTCCCTGGCGGCCATGGTGGAGCACGTGACCCCTGCACGCTCCCTGGTGGCCCTCGCCTCGGCGGGCGTCTAGTATGTGGAGGGGCATGGGGTGGGGCGGAGCAGGGGCCCTGGCATTAGCTGGGGAAAAAGACCCCTGCTTCCCAGTTGTCTCTTTGCTCACCGCTCCTGGCAGGCTGGAGGTGGTGAAGCAGGCTCTGTGCACCAGGTCCCCGGGGAAGAGGTGGGAAGCATGTAGTGGCCTGGAGGTCGGCTGCAGAGGCAGCCTGAGCCAGTGCTGAGGTGCCTTGCCCTATCCCAGGGGAGGGCGTTTCTGATGAAATCTTGAGCCAGATACAAAATCTCACGCTTCAGCCAGCCCCTTGGCCTTCTCCTGAGAAGCCTCTTGGGGAAGCTTTCTGTAGCCAGATTTGTTTTCCCCTCAAGTAAAGACCCAAACCAAAGCAAAACTGGCATTTCCCAGGCCCTGTCTCCCAGAGGGCCAAACAACTCACCAGCACAGTGAGCCACTTCTCTGCGTGGTGCTAATGCTAATGGTATTTTTTCCAATGGGGAAGGAGGGAGTTTTCTGGGAGGCTACTCAGGCAGACCCCAGGCCATGTGGGAGCAGTCAGAGGCCTTTGCAAGCACACCAGAACCCAGGCCAAAGGCTCACACCCTGGATGGCTACTCGACTCTCCTGCACCTTGCTTTCGTCATCTGTAAAACGGGGACAGTAATGGCGTCTGCCCCATAAAATTGTGAGGAGCAAACCAACCGACTCGTGAAAGGCACCAAGAGCTGCCTCCTCTACCTGGCCCCCCCTGAGTGCTTATCGTCACTATTGTTAACTCAGGAGAAATGCCGTGTCTTTCCGGATTCTCCCTTTGCCTTGGCGTCCTCTCCTGCAGGGTGATGCCAAGAGCAGCTCTTGGAGTTGGGTAGATCTAATGGATGAAAGTTACTTCGGGTGTTGCTGCCTTGGAGGATGCCTCACTGCAAAGAGTGGCCACCCACCCTCTCCCAAGACTCAGGCTTGTGTCCCCTGGGGAGCCCCGGACTGTGTTTCTGCATTCCTTGGGATCTTGCTAAAATGCAGCAGATTCAGGTGTTGACTGTGCTGGTCCCTAGACCCCGCCGAGCAGGGAGAGACCGGAAGTCCCCTTGTGTTCCCCTGGGCTGAGGGTCAGGGTTCCCTAATGGACTTGAGAAGAAAGAAATGTCATCCTAACGGGTTTTTCTTATCACATTTTAGCTTTTCCTGTTTGGTTTCCAATCACCCATTAATTCCCTGTCCCTCCATCCTGTCTCAGTTTGCCCCAACAGAAGGGCATTAAGTTCCCAATGAGAGTCAGGCCCGTGCCAGGCACCAGTGGGGCTCTGGGGGTTCCACAACAGGGAGCTCCGAGGCTGCCTGGGAGCTGCAGGGATGCAGCTGTGTTGCCCAGTGGGCGCGAACAGAGCTGCCCGCAGTGGACAGTGTAACTTCAGGGAGCAGTGTAACTGTGGGCTGGGGTGGTGAGGGGGAGGGCAGAGGTGGGGTCTTTCTGGGTGGAGTAAAGGTGGGGCTGTGCTTTTAGGCAAAGGCAGGAACCAGCTCAGGAAGGCACAGAGGATGGTGGGCACGTGGTGCGTCTGGGGAGCATCATGTATTCATGGGACTGCACACCCTCCTGTTTCCCTCCCCCACGGGTGCTGTCCTCACCCCCAGTTACATAGCCAGGAAGTGCTCTTCCCTTAAAGACTCTCGTTAGCTCACAACGGCATGAAACGTAGATGCACAATTTTAAGTCCATGTGCAGTGTCTGGGGAGCTCCACACCCCATTCCTTCACTGAACACTTGACTGTGACTATGTTTCTCTTCAGTCATCGAAACCCCTCAGTCCGGAAATGCACTGCTGAGCACCTGTCAGCTGTCCTCGAGCAGATAGGCGCTGAGAAGCTTCTCTCTGGTACCAGGGACAGCACGGACATGCTGATACACAACCTGGTGAGGCTGGCCCAGGACTCCAACCAGGACACCAGGTAACGCGGGGCCTGGGCCTGGGGCTGCCAGCTCGGCCAGCCCAGGGCAACTAGCCAGCCCGGGGAGCTGATGTGTGCTAGCCCTCCTCTCCCACTGCCATGGTGCTGCACATGGTACCGCCGCCGGGCTGGCTGATGTGCCCTGGAGAGTGTCTTTGTGGTATGGCAGGAGCAGGCCTGTCAGGTGCATTTGTCCACTCAAGCCACCCGAGCACTGTGAGGAGCTCTCCGGTGTGCTGTCCCTGCTGCTCCTTCCTGCATCCTCTGGCCCGGAGGCCTGTATTCTCATGACCTTGCAGTATCTGGATTCTAATTTTTATTGCTCTGATGGCTAAAGTGCAGGCTCATTGTTGTTTCAGAGTCCCCCCCCCCCACCCTTGATTACTAATGAGTTCGAGTGTTTCTTTACCTGTGTGCTAGTCTTTGAAAAACATCATCTCAGCTGCTCATTGGAGGCTGGATAGGGGCTGAGGCGGTAGGTGGAGGAGGGCCTGCAGACAGAGGGCTGCCCCCTAGTCCAGGCAAGGGGTGCTGGGGCTAGCGCTCGGGGGTTCCAGCAGGACGTGGCTGGTGAGGCTGTCAAAAAGGAATCACAGATGCCTCTTAGGTTTTACACCTGAGCCACTGTGTGGGTGATGGTGCCATGTACTGAAATGAGGAATAGTGCTGGGGCAGTAGAAGGTTTGGTTTGCTTGTTTTTACTGGAAATCGAGATGAACATGGCTCCGGGTCTAATATGCCTCCACAGCCCCACCTTTCTTACACTGGCTGGTGTTGACTATACTTTATTTTCTTTCTTGGAACCCTGCGCCTCCTAATCTCTGTGGCATTTCACACCCTGGGTTTCTTCGTCCGTCTGTGGACTTTGCCCTGCCCTGCCTGCCCTCTGCGTGGAGAGGTGGCCAGAGGGTCTTTAGTCCCTGGCCCCGTCTTGCAGCTCTCCCTTAGTGAGCTCATCACTTCCTGGGGCCCCAGTCCACACCCTCTCTGAGCTTGGGTCTCCTCTCTCCAGTGCCCCCAAGAGCCATCCCTGGGTGTCCCAGTGTCATCTCAGTGCAGAGTGTCCCTGAATGGACTCTGCCTTCTCCCCAGGCTAGCTTTTCCAGCCTTGTTCTCCTTGTTGTTAGACATCACTGTTATTCACTGAGTCATCTACGATGCAAAATAGGAAATTTCATACCTTGTTGATTCTAAGACACACACACACACACACACACACACACACACACTTCAATATCTCACATCGGAGGCTGGTAGTTGCCTTTGGCTGGGCAGGCAGCATGACTTGGGTCTTACTATCTGCACATTCGTAAACTTGGTCATTGTTGCTCATGGTATAAACCTCCGAATTAAAGTGTGCCGTGGGAGCCACACTAGGAATCTTCCTTTGCTTGTTATCCTTTGTATTTATTTTAAGAAGTCACTCTGGATGCTCTGTGGGGAGTGGTTGAATTTGGTTGCTATTTTAAATGTCCTAAAGATATTACACTCTCATTTGGCAGTGATATGAAAAGTCCTGTGTATCGGAAAAGGCAAGAAACTAGAATGGTGCAGCTTAAATTAGATATTCATGCAAACATTCATCATCGAAGGAATGACCAAAATTCCACATTTCCTTACAGAACAACCTTCCTTACAGAAGGTCACTACCCCGAGTAACATTTCCTTCTGCTTCGGAGACAGCCTGTGCAAGGGTTGCCTTCACGAGGGCAGTGCCATTGAAAGCAGGGGAAATTGCTAGTGTTTTCCTTTTCTCTGGTGGAAAATAAATTAATGGTCTATTTTACAATCAGTAGAGGGTTAGGTAGAGTGAAATATAGTGATTATAAATGTGTCCTGCTCCACTTGAAGTGTTGCAGTTTTAACTTCCTTTGCAGCTCTTGAATCCAGTTAGGGCTTCTCTCCCCACTCCACTGTCTTATTTCAAGCCTTTATCGCCTCTTGCCTGGGCTATTATGTGACCTCCTAAAAGGTTTCCCAGCCTGTGCCCTTGTCCCCAGAGATCCACCCTCTACACTTTTGCCAGAGACATTATGACTAACGTGCAAATCTGATCATCCCTCAGCTTTCTGTTGCTTGCGCCTAAGGCCCAGCTTCTTCCCATCTCCCTAAACTGGCTCCTGCCTTCTCTGGCCTATTCTCTCCCTGTCTCCACTCCTTGCCCTGATTCTCCAACATCGTACCTGCAGATTGTTTTATGAGCCCTGGAATGTCCCCTCCCTCCTTCCACTTACTCCCTCTTTCCACATTATTTCCTAGTCCCATCCCACTTGCAGATGCCTACTTATTTGAATCCTGCCGCCCCCCACAGCAGTGTGGTTCAGTCAGTCTGCCTGCTCTGCTCCCCACTCTGTCTCTGGTGAATCCTCTCACTCCCCGCACCTCTGGCCTGTACCCCAGCTCTTGTACGCATAAATAAATCTTTAAAAAAATAAAAAGAAAAATGCACACATTGTAAAAAGCCTATGAGAAATAATACTAAAATTAAATAATGGCTTTCTGTCAATAATGGGATTGTGGTTGACGTTTATTCTTTTATGAATCTAGTTTTTAGCTGGGTAGGAATTACTGTGATAGTTTAAAAAGGTATCAAAACTTCTTTTACTATAATTAGAAAAATTATGTAAAGCTGTTCAGCAAATTTATGGTATATTTCTGTGGCTGTTTCTTCATCTTGCTTCCTCCTGTAACAGGTTTTACGGCCGGAAGATGGTGAATATCTTGATGTCGAACGCGAAGTTTGATGCCTTTCTGAAACAGTCCCTCCCATCTCATGACCTGCGGAAAGTCATGGCAGCCATCAAGCAGCGAGTGAGTCAGGGTGTGAGTGGGTCAGGGATGGGGCGCCCAAGCTGACCCTGGCCCCGGCAGCTTTCACGTTGAGCAGGGGGTCAAGAGTGCACTCCTGAGGCTTTGATCTCATCTGTGACTCCCACTTATGAGTTCCTTCTCTTGTGCTTTCCATGTCCCTCAAGTCCCCTGGGGCCTCCGTTCTTCATCTGTGACATGTGACTCTTGACCACCCCCTGCTCCCATCACCATGCTCTGGATGCCCCAGTGGTGCCTGCTGAAGCTCTCTTAGGGGAAGGGTCCTTCCTCTTGCTCTGGCCTAAGTAGGAGTACCTGGCAGCTTCCCATGGGCCATCCTGTGCCTCGTGTTCTGTGTGTATTTTTCAAGGGAATAGAAGATAGTGATGAACTTCCATCTGCCAAAGGCCGCAAGGTGTCGAGGAGTCTGGTGTACGAGAACGGGCTGCCTGGCGAGCATGGGTATGGCTGCTCTTGTCTTTCTGTGATTCTACACACGAGATACTGATGGGGGGACCTGTTTGCCCTGGGCTGGGGCCTCTGGGAGCGTTGTGGATCTGGGCTAGAACTGAGACCCAGTTGGGTCTGCAACACTCATGGGTGAATTTATAGGCGTGCTCCCCCACCCAAAACTCAAGGAAAGCCAGTCCCGGGAGCATCTTCCAGTGGAGGTTGGTTCCAGCAGTCTTATGCGAGTGCGTGCAGTTTCACCAGCACAGGTGGGATGCGGTTTTAGTCAGCTGGGGGAGCTCCGAGCCCCTCCATTTAAGAGCAGTGGATCCTTTGTCACCACTAGAGTGGCCGGCTTGGGGCCAATTCTGAGGCAGAGCTGGGACTGAGGCAGATGAGCAGGAGTGGGCCGAGAGGCTAGAGAGTGGGTGCTGGGAGAGTTAGAGGCCGAGCAGGAACCCAATGGTCTCTCCTGTGCCTAAACTTAAAACTTAAAGTCCTCTGCAGGAAGGACTGTGTCTGGCCTTTGCAGGGCACCCAGGGATGCCCCCTGCCCCTCTTCAAGAGTAGCTTCCTGCACTTTCCCGCGCAGCCTCCCAGCCAGACCAGAGCAGCTTATGTTCCCTGCCCCTCCACGTACTCTCTCCCCACTGAGCCTGGCCCAGGAGGTCTGTGCATCGCCCCAGGGCCATCTGGGTTAGACGTGCCTTCCACACAGGCTCAGCTCCAATGGCCCGAGGCTGATGGGGCTGCGCTCCTCTACGCGGGGTGGCTTGGAGATGGTAGAGCAGCTGCGGGAGTTGACGCAGCTGCTGGAGGCCAAGGAGTACCAGTCTCGGATGGATGGCGTGGGGCGGCTCCTTGAGCACTGCAAGGCCAAGCCAGAGCTCATCACCACCAACCTGGTCCAGGTGAGCAATCCCCCAGTCTTCTCCTCCTGCCCCTTTCTCCCCTGTGGGTCCAACTTGAATTTGGAAAGCTCAGAACAGGGCTGGACATTATTCTGGGCCCTCAAAGTCAAAGGGGGCAAATAAACATTTGCTCTCAGGTTACCTTGGGAAGGCCAAAATCTACCAGGAAGTGGCCAAGGAGGTCAGGGTATCTTGGGGTAGGTCAGAGATATACTGAACACCTCTCATGCCTCTAGCAGATTTGTGGGGAGAAGGGTAGAGTAGAGGTGCCAGGGTCGAAGGCTGCTCCTGGTCTAGCTACACACTGGATGTTTTGGGGACAGACCACGTGTTTGGCCAGGCGACAGGGCAGGATGGCTGGAGGGGTCAGTGAGGAGGAGGCACGGACTGGAATCCAGGCAGATACCTACCCTCTTCTGCAGGGGGTTCCTGGCAGTCCAGCCATGTAGTGACGCTGTTAAGACACTGGCTTGAAGTCAGCAGATCTGGGTTTCCACCTAAGCTATTCATTGTGGATCTGGGGCAGAGCAATTAAGTTGTTCAGTCTCAGGTTTTGTATTATTATTTTGTTTTTATTGGTAAATTGAAAATGAGAACGCATACCTCAGGGCTTAAGGCCATGTCGCCAAACAGAGCACTAGACACTCAGATGCTTTGCACTCACGGTGCTGAATATGTGGTCATAGTCCCCTCTTATCCACCTCCTCTTTGGAGGAGGTGAGCCCCTCCTCATCAGGAAGGTTCTGGCATAAACCAGAGGAATGTTCTTTAGGGATGCAGGAGGAAACCTTGTCGAGGGAGGCTGGTTGAGTTCGGTGAATTCCAAGCTACCTGGTGCTGTTGGCTCCTGCCCAGCCGGGTTCCCATGGACTCTTGGTTTCTGTTCCCTCAATAGGTCTTTGATGCTTTCACCCCAAGGCTTCAGGATTCAAACAAGAAAGTGAACCAGTGGGCTCTGGAGTCCCTTGCCAAGATGATCCCCCTCCTCAAAGAGAGCTTACACCCCATGCTGCTCTCCATCATCATCGCAGTTGCAGACAACCTCAACTCCAAGAACGCAGGCATCTATGCCGCCGCGGTGACTGCGCTGGATGCAATGATTGAGAGTCTGGGTGAGTCTCTTACCTGCAGCTCCCTCCACCCATCCTTAGCCCCGCTGCTTGGGTCTGGTAGGCAAAGCCCCCAATTCAGGTAGCTGTCCCCCTAATCACCATGCCTACTCTTCTGGCTCAGGACTCAGCAGAGCAGTTAAAGCACTGATTGGCCAAAAGGCTGTGTGGGACAGGAGTGGGCAGCCCAGGGCCTCCGGGTTGGCCGACTGTCCAAATCAGACCTGCTGGTGTGTTAGATGGTGGAAAGTGGAGATGTGGAACATTCTAGTCTAATCTCCTCAGAGTACATGTGATGGAAATGATTCACCCAAGGCACACAGCACCACCCTGAGTGAGTCATCAGGACTGGGGAATACTCAAGCCACCCGGCATGGAAAGAAAAACAGGTTAGGGGTGCCAGGAAGGAGTTGGAAAGAGCTGTCAGCATTTCTTTTCACTGTAGAGATGGTATCAGTGGATGGAGCTGGCATGGGCCCAGGCAGGATGCTCTGAGGCAACAGCAAGCCTGTGGGAGAGGACAGAGTTGATGGTGGGTGGGTCCAGGTGTGGGGTCGTTTGATCATGGTGGACCAGGTGACAGGCCACCTTGGTTTCTGGACACGCTGGACCCTCACTGGCTTCTGGAATGAGGAATGGATGAGTCTTGCCTCTTAGGAAGATTGCTGAGCACCAGGGTTTGGAGTTGGTGGTCAGTGAGGGTGGAGTTGGGGCTGGGGGGACGTAAGGACTAAAGGGAACTATGGGGGAGATATCAGGAGAGGGGACAGCCCCTCAGTCCCTTACATGCTGTATGGTGCCGCCGCTTGGTCCTCTGACATTAGCTGGACTCTTGGTGCATCTACTTCTGTTCTCCTTCCTCTCAGAGAGGACTGGAGGTGCTATTTGGTGCCTCTGCTACAAAACTGAAGTGTAAGTTTAAAACCTCAGGTGTATGTGAGAAAGTGGTACGTGAGCAGGTTTGTGTCCAGACGGGTGGAACCAGCAGCTTCTCAAACCAGCATTGCCTCGATGTGAGGAAGCGTAGGAGCTGACAACCACCCGGGCTGGTTTTGCTGCTGTGAGTCCCAAGGAACACCCAGACCTGCCTTCTGGTGAGGCTGGAAGCTCCACCTCTGCTCCCCAGGCCGCACCCTGGCCTGTGCCCAGCCTCTGTGGCTGAACGGCAGCTGTGTCCTTGGCTGGGGCCTCTAGGAGAAGTTCCAGTTACAAATCAAAGGCCTGGTCAGGCCCTTCTCTCTGCCTCTTGAGTTCATAAATATTGTCAATTTCTTCTCTTCACCTCAGAGGGAATTTATGATTTGCTGAGTTTGTAGCTGCAGAACAAACAATATAAATCCAGCTCTAAATTATGGCTTGTTCTCAGTGCCGCTCTGGGTAAGTGAGATTGCTGTTGCCAATAACCAAGGCTCTTGGTAAATCATCGCAGGCCCTGGATTTATTGGGAAAACCGGCATCAAGCAAAATAGGCTTTAGCTATTTGGAGTGAATCAGCACCTTGTCTGGGGAGAGGAGCTTTTAACTCTTCCTCCTTTGGGTGTCTTCGTTCCCACTTTTTTGCACCGCCACCCTTCTTGATCACTCTCTGCTGCTCAGGGCTGTAGAAACTGGGGTCTCCCAGTGTCCCAAGATGTAGGTTCCCCTCTGCGTGGCCTGGCCACCTGGGAAGGGGGCTGGAATGGCCTGCATTTGGGACCTTCCACCTCTTGAGACAGATGGCAGCTTCTGGGGATCACCTGGAGTCCTTTCCTCCTGGGCGGGTTGACCTGTCCCCTCTGGCCTGTCAGCGGAAGCATCTGGAGCAGGGAGAATGGACGCAGGCCTTAGGGGCTTGCTTCTCCCCTAACCCATAGGCCAGCTCAAGGCTGGGATGGAAAGGAGTCAGCTTCAGAGGGGTGGATCAAACTCCCCCCAACCCCAATCCCTATGGAGCCCAGAGGGCGAAGCACAGAGCTAGACTCAGGTCACTTTGGAAGGGACAGCAATGGTTCGGGGGGAGCCAAGGCATCCCTGTGAGCCACACCCCCGCAGCCCACCCAGAAGCTCTGCTTTGGGAAGCTCTCTTAACTACGAAGTCACCAGCCAATTTCCAAATCCACCTTGGTCAGAACTGGAGGGACTTAGTTGCCAACAAGGAGAAGTGTCCCTGCCATTGTCCCAGGGGCAGAATCACGCCCTCTCTGGGGAGGGTCCTCAGCACCTGGAGTGGTCTGGGCTGTCCTGCAGAGGGCATGAAGGATGCAATAACTAAATTGCCCACTGTCCCGGGGGCCAGGTGCTAGAAGCAGAGGCGGGGCAGGTGAGACTGGAAAGATGGGTGTATTTCTCCCTTCTCAGATCACCCCATCTGAGCCTGCGCTTGGTGGTTCTTGGGGGAACTTAGTCTCTGGAAGTGGCTGGAAGTGGCTCAGAGCAGGGGGAGCTTCTCCCGAGCTGCATTGTCAGGCCCCACAAGGGATTCAGGCTCGGGCTGGAGAGGATCTATGCAATACTAAGAAATACCTAAATGTGGGAAGGCACAAAGCGAGCCTCAGCGTGTATCTGTTTCCTGCTCAATTGAGAGGTTGGGGGGTGGAAGTGGCAAGGGGATCAACCAGGCCAGGCCACCATCTGGCAGAAGGTCCAGATCACGCAGTCAAACCAGGAGGTTGGTCTTCTTTGATGATCTCTTTCAGTCACTCTTGATTCTGGAATTCAGTGATACAGTTGACTTCTTGGCCCACGCCGTCTCTTCCAGTTCTTTGGTTTTCCCCGGGGGCATTGGGCAGATGATGTGTGGATTGACAGAGCAAGGTGGGGATTTCTGTGCAGGTCCCCTTTGGGGGGATGCCAGGGAAGAGGTACCTAGACTCCTGTCCTCTGTCCTTTGTCACCGCCAGTCTTGGGGTGTCTTTCTCCAGGGATGAGGCTGGAGTGGCTTCCTGTCTACGCCGCACCAAGACCTGATTTCAGGGAGATGATTCCAGGATCAGGGCAGGCCCAAGCAGCCTGGCTGGTTCTGACTTTGGGCCCTGTCGCTGGGTTAGTTACAGGAGAAATTTCACTAATGAAAACATCAGGCTGATGATGACAGCTCATCCCCTCCCGGCCTGAGTTCCGCATTCAGGCTTCTGAAAGCCGGAGAGTTCTCTTCACTCTGCAGCAGCCCCTGGCCAGTGCTGGGGAGAGCAGATAAGGGGGTGGGAGTGACTTCACATCCATTTTGGCTGTTTTGCTGACTTCACATTCATTATCTTATATAGATGATACAACCAACATGACATTGTTAATGGGATTAAAAAATTAATCCCTGGTGCCCCCCACCCCCCGTATACCAACTGCTTAGAAGCCTTCTTTTATCTTCTATTTCTTGTCTTCATGTCTCTACATTTCCCTGGGTAAAAATCATCATGTAACAACCATTTGACTTCACTGCTATCATTTAACACCACCCAGTTTCTCAGGCTATTATGCAGACTTTCTAGCTAACTTAAAAATATAAAGTTTATTTCCCAGCACTGTACAAGTCCTGCTTAATAATTATCGAGAAACTGGAAAATCCAAAAACATCTGGGAGGGGAAAAAATCTTCGTTATTGTCCCAGTGCCTAAAAGAAACCATTTTTAATGTGTGACTTACTTTTTTCCTCTTTAGATCTTTCTTTTTCTGTATTTGTGTACACAGTTGTGAGTAGGACACATTTAAATTTGATTCCTGCTTTAAATATGATCACACACTGAGTCACTCGACCGGTTCTGTGCAGGCTGTGCTGCTGCTAGCAGCTGCTTGTTCCGGTGGGACGGCCCCAGTTTTTTCCTGCATGACAGACTTGGCTTTGGGGATTGGGAGAAGTGGCTCCACGCTCGACATATCCTGACATACGGGGTCTTGTGCTTATTTGGGAGAGTGCAGTTTGGCTCCAGTTATTTTGCTGCCACTATCCACCATGCTCCTGTGTTTCCTGTACTTTCTTTCTTTGTTTTTTTATTTATTTAAAAAAATTTTTATATTTTTTACATCATTTTTCATTTTTGCACAATGGATGCATCTTCATCTTGCGTATAGTCCCCATACAGTTCTCACCCCCGCCCCTTGTTTTAATCCTATTCCCTCCCCCACCCCCGCCCCTCCCTGTAGTGTGTCTCTGGTTTGTAGTTGCTTGTTGATTTTGATTTTTACTTTAAGCTCTTCTCTGGCTTCTCAGCAATTTCAGAATGAGGGGCCCAGTGGCCCCCCGGGTGCGTAGGGGCGAGGCTACCCAGTTGGAGGGAGGGGAGGTCCAGGGAGGGCAGGGTGGGTCAGTGACTTCTGTCCACTGCCTGGTTTTACTTGCCTTTCTGTGAGGCGAGAAGAGCAGCCTATGGGAACCCCCTGCGGGGCCACGCGAACATGCGTTCCAGGGTTTCAGAAGTTAGATCGCAGCTGCTGGATTGGCCTCTCCGCTGGAAGGTTGCTGGGCTTTCCCAGCATTTTTGGCTAGTAACAGTACTAGCAGCAGCGATAACCCAGCCCTCCGTGGCGATCAGATGCTGAGGCGTTATCCTCAGATTTAGACTCGCTCACTTCATCCTCACAGCAGCTCGAGAGGGAGGAAAGAGTATTATCCCCATTTCACAGCTGGGTCAGCTGAAGTGTAGAGAGGATAGTGACTCATGCGGTGTCAAACTGCGAACCATGGACGGGCCAGGATTTAAATCCAGGTGACCTGGACCCAGAGCCCACACCCTTAGCCACCATGCGCCTCTGCCTCTCCTTACACCTGGGTGTGACCAAAGGTGAGTCTTCACAATGAAAGTGGCCCAAGGAGGAGCCAGGTTTCAAGGCTAAAATGGGGGCAGAAAAGTTAGTCATGAGCCACCTGCTGTGTCCTGTTGGTGAGAGTACAAGTTCAGGCTTGGAGGAGAGCTAGGGCTTCTGATGCTGACCCTAACCCTGCAGAACCCTGCAGTGATCTTTGGTTTGACCATGGCTCAGTGCCTCAGTTTCCCCTGAAAGTGTGTGTGTGTGTATCTCCACAATCTATATCCATCCATCCATCCATTTATCATCCATCTATCTTTTTGCCATAGATTTACCATCTGTTCATCTGTCTGTCTGTTCATCCACCCACCCACCCACCCACCCACCAGTCTTCCATACTCTTTTGCCTCAAAACAAAGCAATTTTGAGGACACAGACAACATTGTAACCAGATCCAGGAGGTAAATCGTGGCCTAATTGGGAGCCAGCTGAACTAATGCAGGTCACTCACTCTTCTCCAAGCACCCCAGATACACTCACTTTGTTTAAGTGGCCCCATTGCAACTGGAGGAACTAGGGGCCTGTTTCCCATGTAGGGCTGCGGGTGCCTGTGCCGATGGCTGGGAACGCTGCAGGGTCCGCAGCACCTGGTCACTGGCTTCCTCCTTCTCTTCCAGACAACCTTTGCCTCCTGCAAGCACTTGCTGGGCGGGTACGTTTCCTGAGTGGCCGCGCGGTGCTGGATGTCACAGAACGCCTGTCAGGTGAGCCCCCAGCCCGCCCCTGGCCTCCCAGGCCTGTGGTTGAGCCACTCATCTTAGTCTGAAAATAGTCAAAGAATCCTCACGGGGCACTGCAAATCTTGATAATTTGCTTTTTAAAAACAATCCCTGCATTGCCAGCAGACGGTCATTGTGTTTGGCTGTACACAACCAAAATAGTTTTGAAGAAACTAGTCTGCATCTCCCACTCTTTGCAGACAGGGCTGCCACTCGCCCATAGCTGCTTCGCGCTGCTGCTTTCTGAGTAGCCGCCACCTCGTGGTGCTAGGCCTGCTCAGCGGCTGCCCTAGAATTAGGTCAGGTTGCCCCTTCTCAGCAGGCACAGCTTGGCCAGGATCCTTGCCCCACTCCCCCTCTGAGCTGTCACCAAGGACTCTGTTCCGTGGAGATGGGGCCTGGGACCGAATCTGTTCTGCCAGTTCAAGCTTCAGCAAGGAAAGCTTGCTCCAAGCCTGTCTCCGCATGAGTTTGCAGGAACAGTCTGAGTGATTTCTTTCTTTCTTTTTTAAAGATTGATTTATTTATGCATACAAGAGCTGGGGTGTAGGCCAGAGGTGTGGGGAGTGAGAGGATTCACCAGACAGAACAGGCAGATGGACTGAAATACTCTGCTGAGGGGAGCAGCGGGGAGACAGGAGAGGTCTGCTGCGCCATGTGGGTAGTTCCCTGGCCAGTGGGGGATTGAACTCGTGCTGCAGTGGCTGGAGAGAGCTTCACAGCGCTGTCTTTAGCCCCTGCACCACCAGGGAGGCCCAGTCTGAGTGATTTCATTCCAGGATTCAAACCCGCTCCTGTGCCCTTGAGGAAGAAAGGACACAGGCTTTGGTGTGGGCTGGCCCTTCTGTCACCTGCCAACTCTGACCTTGGACAGATTTTTGGTTTTATCATCTATTTTGTTTGCCAAAAGCTTCCTCCTCCAACTAGGAAGGAGGCAGAGGACTTAGTCTATTCTCTAGACTCCGGAGGGTCCTTAGAATGCAGATGGCTCATCTACCCCCTGCTCATATGCTTGCGTGGCTCCTATGTTGTCTTCAGTGACATGTTCAGGTTCCCTGGTGTGGCCCAGAGGCCTGTCACTGCACACGTCTCCAGGCTCTGCCCTCTCTCTGCCCGAATTACATGCACTGGATCACTTAACCCCATGCGGAGGGTTTGTTCTTGTAGAAATAAAGAAAACAGATCTCAGAAAGGTCAAGTTCCCAGAGCCCTTGGCCAGTAATCCAAGATTTGTCCCCAGCAGCCTGGGGCCTCAGCCAAGCCCTGACCTGCTGTGTGGGCTCTCTCTGCTCCCCCCACACCCTCGCCTGCCTGGCGCTGGCATTTGCCTCCTCCCAGCGCCGGTCTCTCAACTTCTTGCCTTCACCTCCAGAGGCCCTCTCCACCTTCTTTCTCTCCCAGGCGGGGCCCACCTAGTTGTGCATCCCCGGCTCTGTCTCCCTGTCCCTTTTCCTGCTTGAGGGTGCACAGCACCCTCTCTCCAGATCCCCCACGCTCCATCTCTTGCTCGTGGGCTTGCCTCCGTGCCCTGGCTTGGTCCTCCCAGTGTCTCCAGAGTGGCCCCTTCCTCCTGTCCGAGAGCCAGGCCTTCCTCAAGCAGGTGGGGCTCCACTGTAGCTGCTGTGGGTGCCGGGTGAAAACAGCCACGTGACTGAAAACACCCGGTACCCGGCAAGGAACTCTTTCCTGTTGCTCAAAATCAGCCTTCTCTCCTTCCCTGGCCTTGCAGACATCATCTGTGGGGCCCAGAGATGGGCAGCGTCCCTTCTTTAGATACCCATTTACTGTGAGTACCTTCCAGTTCTCTCCGCGCGAACGCCAAGGAAGTGTTCCTGCACACTCTCTGCTAACTCGGTGTCAGCCAGGGACAGAGAAGGAAATTTCAATTGACACAAGGCTGTGGGCTAAGAATAGCACAGCTTAATGGGAGTAAATCTTTTGCTAATTACCTCAGTAGCTTCTAAGCTCAGCTGTAATGGGGTTTTCTCCCTCATGACTCCTAGTAGGGCCACTGCTGCCTCTGCCAGGTGACCCCGTCTCCCTGTACCTGCGGAAGTGACCCAAGTGGGGGCAGATTGGTGTCCTCCTGGGGAGCAGGCTTGGGGAGGGGAGGCTGGAGTAAGTCATCTCTTCAGGGAGGGAGGGAGCTCCTGGTGTGGAAGGGTGGGGAGGGGGGCTCTGTGAGGGCTGGGTGGGGGTGCAGGGGACCCCTGCCTGGGCCCGGCTCTTGGGGCTACTTCTCATATTCATTTGCAGGTGAGATTCAGATTTAAGAAAACCTTTGAGTTACGGTTGTCCAGAGTAAGTAGCTAAACAGGATCACCGGTTTCCTCTTGGCTCCCCTCACGCCGTCCCTCTCTTGTTTCGCCTCCCCCTGCCTCCTTGGGCTGGCTGGGGTGGCTTTCTGTCACCTGTGCCCTCCTGCTCAGGCAGTTGCCAGCACTCATCTCCTTGCCCGCTTCACGAAATTCCTGGGGGCCCTGCTCCTCAGGGAGCCTTCCTGGTGAGCCCCAACCTTGCTGGTTGCTCACTGGACTGTCCTGTCTTCCCTAAGCATGAGAATCACATTTACTTCTGAGGGTTCTGTGATGTTGGGGACCCCAAGGGAGGCCCCCCAGTGTGGGTGCAGGAACCTTCCAAGAAACGAGGCCCTGGGAGAGTGTCAGGATAAGTTGGGGGGCCCAGTCGTTTTCTCTTTTTTCCCATTGTTCCAGTCCAGCTGCCATCAGAGGGACGGGGCTCCCGCTGGAAAAAATCCTGGGGAACTGGATGATGCTGAGCTAAGGAGGGAAGTGCATATTGGGGGTTTCACTAAAAACAAAACTCCAGATCAGCCTGATACGCGGAGCCAAGCCTCTGTTAGCCGTGTGGTCCTGGGCAAGCTCCCCCATTTTGGCTTCCTCCTGTGAAATGGGTGCCCTTTGCCCTCATAGTCTGGGGTGGAGAGGGGGTTTGGGAGAAGCAGAGCCCACTGCCGCCAGGCTCTGAGCCCCAACTCAGGACTCAGTGTTAGTATATTGGCCCAGGGAACCTTCCAGTTTCTCTGCCCCATAAAGAGCTGCATCTAGCATCGCCTGCCTTCACCAGCACTTGCCCTCGGCAGGATGACAGAGTGAACTAATGCTAAAGAAGCACTGATAGTACTTAGGGGTGATGTCTGAGGCTGGAGGCTGCCATAGCCCCATCCAAAACAACTTGGTGGCCCCAAGTGCCACTTTGATTGACATCCAGCAACCCCAGTATTTACTCTGTGATGGAGGACTAGCTGGCCGGTTCAGCTGCTTCTGGGTCTTTTGGGATTTAGAGAAGACAGAGGGCTTTGGGCAACCAGATTTTGGGGTTCATCACTGGAATGCAGGGTCTGTGCAGAGCTTGCTGGGCTACAAAGCATGACTACGTAAGACCCGTGCTGCTGGTCCTATGGTGAGGTTTGGCATTCAGACCCGTTCTTGATTATTTTAGTTTTTTTATGTCTTATTTTTCAGAATGCTCCATCTGACAGCTTGATTTCTCTCCCTAGCACAAGCTCTCTCTGTATTGGCACGAACTCTCAGAGGCGGGTGTGTGGACCAAGGCTGTGTTAGGACTAGTGACTGTCACGTGCCTTCACGCACATTATTAGCTGATCTCTAACAATAGCAAGAGTTTGGCTCAGGATTATTTATCTTTACTTTTCAGATTATGAAACAGGCTCAGGAAGGTGGGGTGCTTCTGGGGCTCACACAACTAGTAAACCAGGGGCAGGATGCCATCCAGGTGTGTCATCCTCTTTCCCCTGGGCTGCCGGGACCCACGTGACTGTCATGACCTGAGAACTTGACCTCTGCACACTCCTTCCTCCATAGAAATGTACTAAGCATTCTATCTCATGGCTGGTAGCTGTAAATGTGTGTATAAACCAAGCAGATGTCTGCATTTTTCCCTTCTGATTTTTAAGAAGTTAAAGCATTTCCATGGGCTCCCTCATGTCCCATGAGCTGCCGGTACTGAGTTGAATGGGTTTGTCGGCCGTGCTGGGCTGCTGCCCTTGGGGGGACAGGGTGGGTGTTCCAGGAGCAGGCAGAGGGAGGTGGAGAATGCCCGAAGCCCCAGTAACTCTCCTCATTTCTGCCCCACAGTGCTGGTGGCCTCGGTTTACCCCCGAAAACCCCAGGCGGTGGAGCGCCACGTCCTGCCCGTCCTCTGGTACTTCCTGCACCACGCGCTGGGCAACGGCGTGCTGCGCGGGCTGGGCGGCAGTGTCCGCCCGGTGGTGTGCCGGCTGGCCAGGAGCCTGCAGGAGCAGATGGGCCCCCGGCTGCGGGACTTGGCCGCCGGCCAGCCAAAGCACGTCGTCAAATCGCTCCAGGAACTCTTAGACGCCGAAGCCCCGTGACACAGCCCCGGCTCGGCCAAGGGGTGGTTCCCAGAGCAGGACAACTGGCAGCTCGTGCCCCTTCAGCCTGACGGGCGGCAGACTTGAAATGGGCAATCTTATTTTTTATCTTATTTTTATGCTGGAATAATCTCCTGGTCTATTTCCCTTAGAATTCCAGATGTACATAGTATATTTTGAAGTAGAAATAAAAGAATTGCTTATTTTTCTAAGGGTTTACTACCTTGTACTTTTTTAACCTCCAAGAATTTTCCAAAGGCTTTTTTAACCTCCAAGAATTTTCCAAAGGCTAGATTTGTGATGAACAGAACAAAACACGACAAACAGAACAAAACACGACCACTCTTGGGTGAGACCAAGAGTTAGGAAGGAAAAGTTCAGCTGAGACACCCGTGCTGTGGGCCATTTAGGGGCAGAGCCCCCCATCTGTGAGCAGCTGGACACGACCTCCTGAGTTGGTCATTCAAATCCAGTCCATTTGTCAACGGCCCGATTTGAGGCAAGTGTGCAGACACCCAGGCATCGAGCTTCTGTCTACAAAGTCTGTGCAGTGTCTTTTGGTTCTCTGAGGACCCTTCACCAGGACCTGCCCAGCTTATTGCAAGGCAAGGAGAAGCTGACATTTGTTTTATGAAAAACCTTCTCTGAACAATGGCATCTTGACTAGTTCTAAGAGGACCAGACCTGTTTCCCACTTGGAATATCACACATGAAAGCCTGCAGCAGCGCCTCGGGGGCCACCAGCTCTACAATGTCTCCGGGAAGTTGTGAAATTGCACAGGCTGTTCCAGCTGGGTAGAGTCACAGAGCTGGACAGCAGTGTAGGACTCAGGGTGACTAGGACACGAGGAAACTGGAAGAAGGGCTTGTTGATGGAGCAGCCAACACAGTGGGGTCCTGGCAAGGGAGCAGGATGTCTGGGGACTGGGTTCTAGACAAGGCCTCTTGACTGTGGCTTGTGGAACGTTGATAATAGTGTGACCTGGAAGAGTTAGCGCTCAGGTCATTGCCTCAAACACACATGTAATGTGGCCAGACCCACAAAAACACTTTAGGGCAGGTCCAGACAGCAGGGCCCTGCAGCCCCAGCCTCATGCCAGGCATTTTCCCCAGCAGCGGTCCTCTCCACTGTCACCCACCCCCTCTCTCCTCTCCTGGAGAGTCTGGGCCAGAACAGGTTAAGAAATCTCAAATTAACTCACAGATTTCCAAATTGCCCGGCCTAGGAAGTCACTTTACTGTCTTGCCTGTGTTGTCACCCTAATGCCCTGGGGTGAGGTTGGGCCTGGCAGTCATCCTGGCACTCAGGCTTTTAATAGGTGGCATAAATGTGACTGTAATTCCTGGCCCAGCATGTGCTGCTATTTGTGACCCCAGCAGGGCTTTGCCTTGGTAGGTTCTGACTGAGGCAGGTTAGAGGCCTGCAAGCCAGGCGGCTGTCAAAGGTCTGGAAGAGGCTGGTTTTAAATGCTTGGAAAGTTTTACACAATTTAATTAGATTTGCTCGCAGTCTGAGCAGAAACTCTAGGTATGGTTGGGAGACTAATATGTCCTGCTTGTTCAGAGCCTCGCCTCACAGAATAGTTTAGAGATTTATTTATTTTTTTTTTTAGGACTCTAGGAGCCCAGGGATGTAAATAGAGTCTGACAGGGATTTTGAAGAGAGAAATTACACTCAAAGGCACTGTCCCGTCCCCTGTGCCCTGTACTCGCCTTAGCGTGTTTACAACAGCTGAGAACAGAATAAACCTCTGCAGTGTTCTATTTTCCTCCACCATTTTAGGGGCAGCAGCTCAGGGTTCTGGGGCCACAGCCCAGGCACAAGCAGCTCGGGGATCGGCTGGATGCCTCTAGTGTGGTGTGGGAAATTTCAATCTCAAAAGTTTCCTACGTCATTACTTTCAAAACAAAGGACAGACAGCACGTTAGTAACCTGGCTGCAAGAATGAGGCCTGGTGGGAAGGCCAGTTGTGGGGAATGAAGATTGTCCTGGGAACCATGGGCGATTTGAGCGGAGCTCACCCCATTCTTGTTTTCCTGGTCTAGCATTCTTCTCCACACCTCATAAGGAAGCTATTATTGCCCCTATTTCCGGGTGAGAAAATGGGACTGGGCCATATTTCACAAGTCATCTCAGCTAGTGCAAGACAGTCACCGGGAATCCTGTAGAAAAGAACAGGTCTGGGGTGGGGCCTTCGGGTCTGTGTTTCCGGCATGCCCCCAGGTGATGTCAATGCTGCCGGTCTGCAGGGGCGGGGAGGGAGCAGGCCCTGGGGTCCGGCTGGAAGGCGGCTGGAGCTGGGACTGCACTCAGGCCTGTTTGACTCCAAATTCCCTGCCCTTCTGCTTAGGCGCGGTGTTTTATGACTCCAAGATCTTTGCCTCCTTTTGGCCAGCCTGAGGCCTTCGAGAGGACCAAAGGAAAAGGCACAACTTCCTGGAACTCGTCTGCCTCCAGAGTTTCGCCCCTGGAAACCTCAGGGCATACAGTTTGCCAGGTCTGCTGTGGCCATCAGGGGTCTGGAGGGGATAGGCTTTGTGGAAATAAAGAGCAACCAAATGAGGAAGGCACAGGCATTGTTCAGTTTGCCACCGTGAGGGAGCCAGCCAGGCTTACCCGTGCTTGGGCAGGCTCAGGGCAGGCAGAGGAGTGGAAACGTTTCATAACAGAAGGCAGGGAAGACTTCGGGCTTGCTGTGGCTGGAGGCTGGAGGCACGGGGTGGGGTGGGTGCAGCATGACGCCCTCTCCTCGCACACCAGCAAAGTCGGGGACCTCTGGCGCAGGCTCAGTGCTCTCGTGCCTGTTAGGTCCCCAGGCTCGAGACTCCTGGAATCAGCCGTCCTAGGCCAGAAATTCCCAATCATGGTTGATGAAACAATTGCTGGGGGGAGGGAGGGAGACAGGGCTGAGGTGTTTATTAGAAATTCGGATTCCTAGTCCCAGTTGTCAACCTCTCTCTGGAGTGAGGATGCCTGGGCGCCTGAGGATGCTCCAGCAGCTACGCTTTCCAAGTTCAGGCAGCTTGAGAAGGAGAACCCCAACAAATGCCCTGCTCCCAGCTGGACTCTGGGAGTTGGGGGAGTCCCCAGAGGCCGGGCTCGCTCCCCAGGTGGGTGTTTCTGAGTCAAGACCCTGTTTGGTGGCATGGGGTGCTATTTGGCTTTATCACTGGGGCTTGGGCAGGGCCATTGTGGCTCTGTGCACGCTGTTGCTGGCGGCTCGGTGCAGAGGGCTATACAGAAGTTCCGTTCTGTTTTCATCTTGGCTTTGTAATGGCCTCTCTGTGGGTTGACAGCTGTTATTTGTTATTAGCCTAACTTTGGATTCTCCTTGAGAATTTTCACATCCAGAAGTGATCCAGCACTGCTATGACTGGTGTCAGAAGCTGTTACCTGAACAATAGCTTTAAAAAGTGACCAGGTTTTATAAAATGGTCAATCTTGTCCTCTTCCAAGGGAGGAAAAAAGATAAATAATTGTTATGAAGGTGATTTGTTTCCCAGGGTCTGTATTTCCTATCTGTCTCATCCACTGGTTTTCTCCGCTTTGGAACACCTGCCATAAAGCCCAAGAGTTGTTTCCAGAAAGAGGCTTTGTCTGCTCCTGCTGGGGCTGCACCTGGAAGCCAACTTGGGGTTCATGGCAATGTGGAACAAAGATTTTTGTTAAAAATGTTTTTTGTTAATGCCAGGGCAGTATTACCTCTGTGTGGGGTTGGGGGCAGGGATGAGGAGTGGGGGTAGTAGAGGTATATAATGGGGATATTATTTAAAAATTCTCTTGGAATATTTTTAAATTTCCATCTAAGTTAAAGAAAATTATAATTTAAAATTATTAAAATTATAGCTGGACTTTGGCTGGATGTGAAAAATAATTTTCTACTTGTTAAGGTTGGAGAAAATGGAGAATATCTTGGACACAAGGTGGTGTTTCCTTCCAGAGCTGTCCCCCCAACCCCCAATCTAAATGCTGCTTACATTGGGGGTGAGACCCAAGACTGGGCTGGTGGGGGGACCTGATCCCCCATGCCACCTGCTGGCGGTGTCTTTGGAGGAAGACATTTGACGCCTCTCAGTCTCCTGTTTTACATTAAATTTTTTTTTTTTTTAAATGTGTATTACTCTAGGCCGCCAGGTCAAGGTCCTTCACTCTGACATTAAGAACTACTTACTTTGTTCATCACATAGGATTTTTCCCCTCAAAGAGCTAATGAAACAATGTAGATAATTGTATTTTGAAAAAGTGGAGCCTTATACACAGAGAGAAGGAGCAGGCCTTAACTCTGGCCTCATCTCAGTCAAACCTGCTGTTGGGGCGGGGTGGGGGGTAAGTGGGGGGTGTGCTGAGGTTGCTCTTGCCACCACCCACCACTCCCCAGGGTTCAGATAGGAGATTTACAAGTTTAATTTGTTGTCCCTGCTTGATGCAGCTGACCTACATAGGTGGGCGTGCGAGTGAAATGTGAGTGAAATGTTTTCCGTCTCTTCGCTCTGAAAGTCACGGGCGCCTTCAAACACAGAAGCCAGCACTGGCTGAGTTTGATAGTGCTGCGGACCAGCACAGCAGTGAACGATGAGGCCGCCGGACCTAGGGACCGTGGCGAAAGCCATTAGCCCTAAAGGTCACTGCAGGGGGAGGTGCAGCAGATAGCATCTCCCACTTTCTTCAAGGACCAAAGCCCAGGTCTGGAAGGAGTGGGAAATTGTCACTGTGCTCTTTCCCAAATCAGAAGGTCAGCATGCGGAGAAGGGCATTACAAACAGAAATGGCTGCGGGGCTGAGTCAGCACCCAGAGGGTTCTGGGATGGCTTGGAACAGGCAGACAGTGCTCCTGCCTTGCAGCTGGGGCGGGGGGGGGGGGGGGGGGGGAGGGAGTCACTGGCATTGGGGCGGCCCTGTGGGAGGTCACGGAGCACGGTGACAGACCTCAGTGCCTGTGTCCTCACTCCAGCCACCAGGAGCCTGATGAACTCCAGCTCCCCTGGGGTGACCGTCACACTCACCATGTCCCTACTTTTTTCTCCTCTTATTTTTTTTTTTAAAGATTTATTTATGCATACAAGAGCTGGGGAGCAGGCCAGAAGTGTGGGGTGGTGGGGGGTGTGAGAGGGCTCACCAGAGACAGAGGGGGGAGCAGAACAGGCAGATCTGCTGAAATACACAGGGGAGCAGCGGGCGAGACAGGAGAGGTCTGCCATTTGGGTTTGCTCCCTGGCGGGAAATCAAACTCGTGCAGCAGTGTTGTGGGTAGCTTCATAGTGCTGAGACTTAACCCTTTGTGCCACCAGGGAGGACCCCCTCCTCCTCCTATTTTATTCCTCTTCCTCCAACTTAGTCCTATCGTGTTTGTCTGTGGGCCCTACCTGAGTATCTGATTTCTTGCTGTACCATCGTGTTGGCCCAAATCGACCCACATGCTAGCCTTGGCGGGTGTCCAGCATGGCAAGACCAGAACCCAACTACGAGGTCAGTTGAATTCCATAGTCACGTGGTGCAGGGCCCCCCCACCCCCCGACTGTCCATGAAGTTACTTTCTGAAGTCCGGGCGTGTAACCAAGCCGCCAGTGTCCCGGGCCCCCATAAAACTGAATCAGAGTGCTGGCTGAATTAACTGTTTGCGCCTCTGCACGGGCAAGTCATCTTTAATTACATTTCATAAAAACGTCTGCATGGATTGATGGGGCTTTATTTAAACTTCAGGAGGGCACCGGGAGTCAGCACCGTGCAGTAAAACATGCGCTGCTAATACAGGCTCCGCACACATTGACTTGATGGCAGTTCAACACAATCTTTGACGTGGGGCTACTTAAAAATATATTACCTTTGGAAAGCTTTCCTGTGAAAGACAGAGCAGGTGTTGGCAGTCAACCCGACGATCCATTGACAAACATGTTGACACTTAAAATTCCCTGCGTCGTCGGCTCCTCGCTGGAAACATGCAAAACCCTGGTTTCTTTCAGAAAAGGAATGTATTGCTCCGCGTCCCTTTCATTCCCCTCGGGGGGTAGATGAGGCAAGTCTTGTCAAACATCATCTCTTCACCATGAAAGCAAAGTCTCTCTGGCTTGCCCTGCATTTTCCATCAGCGCGGATTATTTTAGGTTCTGAACCGGGTCCATGATGTGAGGAAGTAAAATCGATGCTGTTTATAGCAAACAGCCACACAGACCCAAGCTGTGGAGGAAAGTTCTATTTATCCTGAAAATTGTATTCATGCTTGCAACAAGCTATCATGGTTCTGCCAGAATATTATATTTGCTTTTTCCTCTGTGAATCCTTTTGCTAGAACCAGAAAATTGAGTTTTTCCCCTGGGAGAGAGCAATTTGCTCAGTTCCTCCTGGGTCAGATAAAGAGCTGGCTGAGCACCTCCCTCTTCGCAGCTCTGGGGGGCTGCACGGACGTGCAGGATGAAGGCTGTACCCCTCCCCTGGAAGAATGTGACATGCACCCCTTCAACTGGTCTCCGATGTGGGGCTCCCTTTTGTGTTTATCGCCGACACTCCTTCTGGGTTTCTAACTCTGAAGAAAAAGTGTGGGCTCCTGACTCCTTGGTGGGTTGGGTCCTTTGGCTTAATTAATTATTAAACAAAACAAAAGAAAACCAGCCAACCGTCCTCCCTGGAGCACAGGAAGTAGAATGGGCCGTGGGGATGAGGTCCTTGGGTGGGGGGCGGGGGTGGGCTAGGGCTCATCTGAGAAACTGTGAAATGGGGCTTGTCCCTCATGGTCACCAGCAGGGAACCCTCGAGGCACAACCCAAGTTGAAGATTCGAGGAAAGACCTGATCTCAGGGGCTGAACCTCAGCTGATGCCACCAGGCGGTCAGTTGTGGATCTATTTTCTTTGTGCAAAGTCTGACTCCCTGGTCACCTGCGCTAAGTCTAGTAGGGGGGGTGGTGGCCAGAACAACATGTCTTTGACCTCTCTCCTCCTGTGCCAGCTCAGCACAGCTTCAGCTTTGACCTTTATTGCTTCCTGGGCCCTGAACCTTGGCAAATCCTCCCATCTGCCCTGGGAAGGCCGAGTCAGGATGCTCAAAGCCTCTGGGTCCCTGAGTAACAGGACAGCTGCAACAGCTTGCCGCCCCTGCTGCCTGTCCTGGAGACAGCTGGGGTCACTCATTATGTCCTGTATGGCAGGAGCCTGGCACCTTCCTGGCACAAGTAAGTGCTCTGTAGGTATAGAGGGCTGAGGAGGAGTTGTGCAGTGCAGGATTCCTGGAAGCCCTTGGATCCTTCCACTGGTGCTGGCAGCTTGGGAAGACGGGGTGCTTGGGGGAGGGAGCAACCTCTTGTCTCAGAGAACCTCCCGCTGGGCACTCATGGAGGGCAGTGGGTGTTCATTCTGGGCTCTCCCTGGGTGTTCTATCAGATACTGACCCTCCATGATATAATGTGCTTCCTGGCTCCCCACTGCCACAGCTGGGTGCACCCCCTGCACATTGAACGAGCCCCAAACCTCTAAGGTGAGGCCCTTTAAGAGGGCAGCCTGGGCTGGACACTGAGCCTGGCCTCCCCGATCTGCAGGCCTGGCTTGCAAGTTGTCTCCTGGTTCCAGTAACTAGAATTTCTGTTGTTCCTGCGGCGATGCCCCCCACTCTATATGCCAGTTACATCAGCTGTGTCCCCGTCTGGTCTCCCTGCTGCTGGGGCTCTGCTTTGTGTCTTCAGTCCTCTGGGCAGCCTGCCCCTACACCCTGGCTCAGGGTGAGCTGCCCTGTTCTCCCGCCGGGAGCAGGATCTCTTTCCTCGCTCCTTGCCTGCCCGGGCGCGCCCCTCGTTACCACACCACCAGCCAGCCAGCTAAGCATGTGGGAGGCTGCCCGGATCTCTATTGAGCACGTTCCCTAGACCTGGCCCTTCTCACACCTACCTCCGCCCTGTCCCCCGAGCGGCTGGGCTGCTTCCCGGTGCCTGCAGCCCAGGCAGATCCCGGGGCCTATACCTGTGCTGGGCCTCCAGAACTGGCCCTGCTGCCGCCGCATTCTGCTCGGGCTTAGTGCAGCTGCGCAAGCCAACGTGCGCACACGGCCGGCCAATAGAGGTCTTGTACCCCCGTTGGGTATTTCATCAGCTCTTCTTTGGGTACCTTGAAAGTGTCACCCCTATTTTGATAACTGGACGAGTCAGGGAGGGCTTCACTTACCTGGAGTCGTGGCCTTTCCCTGGGGGAGGTAGCTGTGGTCGCCAGGACCTGGTGTTACCTGTTCTTGCGCCTGCCATCCATTTCTACAGGAAAGGGTTTGAAATCTAGAATTTCCCTGAACTTAAAAATTCAGCTTTGTAGTAGCTCTGGAGGCCTGCCCCTTCGCTACACCCAGTGGGTGAGAATTCTTGTCATTTGACAACCCACTGAGCCAGCATTGAATCACCCAATTACTCAAATTCTTTTCTCAATAGGAAGCACTCCACAGCCGCCAGTGGACAAATTCCAAGATCGGCAGCAAATCTCTAGCTCATTGGCAGACGCAGGGTTTGGCACGAGCGGCCAGCCCTGCTTCCCTTCAGTTCCAGCTCCAGCACATTCTGCACATGACCTGGGGCTGAGCTGGCTGAGAAGCCCCCGAGGGAGACTGGCATGCGAGTGTGTGTGCCTCCCCCACGTCCGGGCGACAGCCCCGGGGTGCACAGAGAATAGGCCGCCTTGTTTAGGAGACTTGCTGCCCCCACTCCGGCTGGGAGGCGTGTGGGTACGCGGCGCAGAGAGTCTGAGACCCACTACTGGGACATGCAGTTTGTGCCAGTCCCCTGAGAGTTTTGAGTTCAGGGTTTGGAATTGAGCTGGGGAAGGCAAGGGAAGTGGGGTAGGAGCTGCGCCCCAGTGCCATCAGGCTCACCCCCCATGAGGACATCAACGCTGAGCCTCTCCAAACCCTTCAGAAAGCAAAGCTTTTCAACCTTTTGTACAGCTGCATGTGCGCAGGGGGACAGAGTGACAGAGCAGTGGTGAAATGTAAGGAGACACAATAGATTCTAGTGCCAGGCGCACCTGTTCATTGTGTGCTCTGCCCTCTGCCTCGCTGTGTGACCCCAGGCAAGATCTTGGCTGGCAGGGTGGCAGGTGGGGGTAGGGCTGGTTTTCTTTACAGATGAGAGAACACCTTGTACTTCATTCATTGTTGTGAGGAAGACATGATTTCAGGACCCAACACCTGTCCCATCTATGCATTTCCCGCTTAAATTAAGGCCAGTGCTTGAAGGTTACACAGAGTCATTGTGGGATCTAAAGTTAACCTTTGACTACCAAGGCCAACCGGGATCTAGAATTGAAAAACACTGATTGTTTAGAATTTGGCAGACCTGCTGGGCAGGGCACCTTCCAGACCTTTCTAGGACATCTCAGTAGGAGTTGGGTTTGCCCACTACGCTTGGCTGCCGCCCTCTGCTGACTTCAATGTCCGGCACCCTTGGGGCGCCGCTGGCTAGCCCGTCAGGCCACTTTCTTCTGCTGGGGCTGTGCTTCTGGCTGGGGCTTGTCCAGGGCAGGGTTGGTGCTGACCTCCCGGTGCAGCCCATGGCCAAGCACGCAGAACTCTGGGGGTGGTGCACCCCTGCCGCCCTTCAGTTCTGAGGCACAAGGACTGCTCCGCGGCTCCCCGTCCTCACTGCTGCTGCCAAGAGACAGGACAGGTGCAGATCAAACTCCCCTGCCTGGGCGTCCTCTGGCCCCTCCCTACCCTCCTCTCTGCGTCTGTCTGTCCCGCCCCATCAGTCTGTCTCACCCACGGGCCTGGTGGGCCCTTCTTGGTACGGGCCTCTGCCTTTCTCTGTCGGCCTCGCCTGCTTTTCTGCAGCACGTTTGCTTGCCTTTCCGTGCCTCTCTGTCCGGCGGCGCTGTCCTCGCGCCTGCCTGGCCTGGTCCTGCTCCGTGGGAGCCAGCTCCGGCGTCGCGCTGACAGGTTGAGTCCTGTTCTCTCCCCTGATGCCCAGGATCCTGTTGCTCTAAACAAAGCAACTCCCACAGGAGCTCTGGCAGCTGGGCCTTCATTTTGTTTTGTTTTTAAAGCAGTTCTTGTTTAATGAAAGACCAGGCTTCGCTGGCTGACTTAGACATCACCAGCGATCACAACGAAACCCGCTTTGCTCAGCTCCCACCCTGCTCTTGAATGGACGAAGATGGACACTGCAGGGCCAGCACGTGGCCACAGCAGAGCCTCCCAGCCCAGAGACATAGTGAGGGGCCTGAGTGGGAAGGGCCTCCCCGCGTGCACTGGAGTGCAGTTTCCTTTCTGGCAAAATGGAGGTGATAGTACCCATCTCAAGGGGCACACAAAGGCATGAGCCTGGGGTGCAGCGTACTACAGTTGCGTTGCTAGCAGGGCGGCAAACATCGGGAGTCCTACCTGGACGGGACAGGCCATCCTGTCATGCTCCGGGTGGGCGGCCGAGGTCCAGGGAGTTGGGGCCTTGGCCAGGGCCTCTCCATCAGGAACTTGAGGGCCAGGAGTGGACCCCGCAGCCCACGAGCACAGACAGAGGCCCTTCTCTTTGCCCTGACACCATGTTCTGGACAAGTCCCGGAGAGCTTCATTACATAGCACGCTCGGCTCTGTGTGCCTGGCTTTCATGGGATGTCAAAGCAGCAGAGGACAGGCTGACTTTGGAGTCTAACAAGATCAAGGTGGTCGGAATGGAGGTGAGGTGGGGTGGGCGCTAAGGCTGGCATTCACATGTGATTTTCAGCTGAGAAACCCACCTTGCTCCTTAGAGCAACCACACCTGTGTTGGCCTCTGGCCCCATTGCAGGTCCCTGCAGGACTCCGTGTGACTCCCTCCTTCCTTCCTTCCTGCCTCCCACTCCCCCCCCCCCCCCCCCAACTCTCTTTGGAGCATCTCACGGCCCTTTGCTGCTCCCAACTGGAAAGACCAGCCCAGAGGAATCGTGGCACACAGCATCGGTGGAGGGAGCACAGAATTCTGACACATGTGATTCTAGAACTGTGTCCTCCCAGCCAGATTCCACACGGGCACAGGTCGGCAGGCCCAAGCTCCTGCTTGTCACAGTGTCACTGGTTGTACATGTCCCCAGCACTGCTGGGAGGTGGGCTGTGGAGGTGACTGCCTGGCTGGTCCTTAGGTGGCCTGATTTAGAAGCTGGGTTCAGGGGTTGGGGCAGAGAGCCCCTGTCTGGCCAATCCAGGCAAAGGCTAAAAGCACCACATTATAGGAGAAAATCTGGACTCTTAAAAGCCCACAGGGCCCAGCATGCTGAGACCTGGAGACAAGTACCTGCACCGGGGGAATCAACACAGAAATAACAGGTGAAGCTCCGCTGCGGAGCTTCCTGGGTAAGCCTCCAAAGACTGTTCCCAGCCCCCTGGGCCCCACGATCCAAGAATATAAACATCAACATTTTCTCTGTTGTGGGATGGCTGGAGGGGGCCTGCGTGCAATGTGGGCCAGGTCATCCTGCCGGGCTGTCAAGGCTGCAAGAAAAGATGGGGGTGATCATGTCCTTGCAAGACCCCAGTGGGGGAAACAGCAGTTCGGAGCAGTTGCTGCCGCCGGTACGGGTTGTTGGCTGTTGCACCGTCTTGGGGGAAATCATGCTCAGTTCCCAGGTGGTGGTGTTTCCCGCAGGCAGGAGGGCAGAAAAAATGCTTGTCCAGGGCCTCCCCTGGTGGCGCAGCGGTTGAGCGCTGGGCTGCGAGGCTGCCCGCAGCCTCTGCAGCGCCGGTTCATTCCCCAGCCACTGGCGAGGGTCCCACAAAAAAAAAACCCCCAAAAAACAGAAACAAAACACCATGTCCTCTACGGCGCTGCACAGCGCAGTGTGCTCCCAGCTGGCGTGCCTCTGCTCCCACATGCCAGCATAACGGGGTGGGCAGGCCGCGGGGGACGGGCATTTGCCCATCACATGCTCACAGGTGACAGTTTGCAATGAGTTAGAGGGGTCGTCTCATCCGGAGACACGGGAGCCGATGCGAGTGATGGTATGACCTCCCGCTCGACCTTGGGGAGACTCCTGTGTGCGAGTCCTCCCCCTCTTTCAAGCTACACCCCCCATCTCTCCAAGTGCTGAGTTTCAGGACATAAAACAACTTTTCAGCCTGCCCTGTTCCGAGGAAAAGCCTGAGAGAAGGCCATTATTTTCTTCTTGAACAATTTTATGTTACTTTATTATTGCTCCTGCTGTTTTAAAATGTTAGTGTTTTTAATTAATGCCATTTTATTGTCCCTGTTCTCTCAAGCTCTTCTGAAGGGCACAGTTTTAGAAATCTAATAACTGAATAAGTGGCCAGTGTGAGGGATAATGCATTAACATTTATAGAGGTTCGCAGATGAAAGGCACTGTGCTGGAGGAAGCTCATTTTAGACTTAAGAAAAGAGCAATGTTACATTTAGATTCTTGCGAAAATAATCAATATTTCATTTCTTTCAAGTGGCTGGGGAAGTTTATGTAACTATAATCATGCACAACTTTCCTGAGATAATATCTTTATTTAAAATTGACTGCCGAGTCCTTTGTAAAAAAATTACCATTTGTGCCTGGGCAGATGGTTGAAGTCTGAAACTTTTGTCATTCTGGTGGAAATGAACTGCTGATTTACGCAATCGTGAGCAATGCAGAGTGGGGACGGTGATGGCTGAGCTCTGTCTGATCTGATATCAAGAGACAATGATGAGAGTTCCTCTCTAATAGGCCTCGGATGTACATCCCCAGCCCCACGTCCCAGCCTTGGCCGACTTCTGGCAAAGATGCATTTCCCTATGAATTCTATAAAATAACCTCTCGGGCATGGGAGTGCTCCTTTCAGTGCTCCTGCAAGGGCGCTCTGACTGATGCCTGAGGCGGTCGCATGCCCAGGACTCAGCATGGCTGTGCCCGCGACCTGCCGCTGCCGCGGGCCCCTCCTACGGAAGGCACCCCAGAGCTCGGCCTCCTAAGGCAGCCAGTGCAGCGGCCCCGCCCGGACTGGAGCTCAGGGCTGCTGGAGACTTTTGCTCTTCAGGAGGGGGAGGTAGATGTCAGGCCAAATTAAAGGAGCAGGGGTGTGGGGAAGCCAACCCTGTCTACCCCACGCCGCCAGGATCTATATTCCAGCCCTTTCAGGGATGTAAGGGGGTCCCCTATATCCAACCCCCAAATGCAATTTGTCTCTTTTGCTCATTCTTTTGTGACTGTAGATGCAGTCTCTGGCCCACAGGGGGTGGGCACCGCGGCAGATGGGCCGCTGCTGCAGAGCAGAGGGTCCAGCTGTCTTTCTGTGAAGCAGACACTGAAGAGATTTGCACGAACAGCTGAGAGGGCCTTGCTTGTGACTACATTTTTTGTTGTTGTTGTGGAAAATATAGTGACTGTTCATAAGGATATATTATTTATGTTAACAAATATGGGGTTCTTTTTAAAATGATAGACAGTCAAATAATTTATAAAACAGTAAAAAGTAATAGATGAGAACCCACCTACATAAAGGCTTTCTGGGGGCATCTCAACCATTAAGACTTTAAAGGGGTCCTGAGACCCAAAAGTCTGAGCACCCCCCACCCAGATGCTGGCCTACTGCAGTGACAACAGTGACAGCAAGGGAGACAGTGGCTCAGCCGGGGGGGAGTCACTTCATCTCAGTCTCTGCCTGTGAAATAAGGGGCGTGTGTGCTTGATTGCCTTAAACTTGATTGCCTTAAACTTTATTTTTAATGCAACAGAGTCTCTTCAACTAAATCTTTCTCGGGAACCTGAAATGTGTAACAGGCGAGGCACAGTTGCTCAAGGTTTAGTGGGGATGGAGGGGTGCTAGGCGAGGGTGGGGGTGGTGGGGAGGCCAGAGAGTCCCTAGACCCGTTTTCCAACTGCCTCTCTGGAGCACAGTCTGACCTGGAAGATGCTAAGGCCCTGATCCTCAGACCCGAAGGGTGCAGCAGCCCAGTTTCCATGACCAAGGGGGTCGCTTACCTGCTGTGGCCTGGCTGGGATTCCCAGGCGCAGCTGGTGGTGCCCGAGACAGGCAGTGGAGGGCAGAGGCCTGGCCGGTGGGTGGAAGCTGTCCTTCTGGAGAAAGGCTGAGGACTGAGGGCACACAGAGCCCCTCCCCTCGGGGAGCCCCCTTCAGGTGTGGCCTTGAGCTGCTTCTCCTGCATCCCGGGGGGCTTCCACGAGGGCTCCCGGCCTCCGGGGGCAGTGACGGTGGCGTGAGCTGGCGGGCTGCGGACTGCGGTGCTTTAGCTTCAAACAGAGAGGAGGTGGCCGGGCAGAATATGGAGCGTGTGTTCCCAGATGCTTTGGCCGTGGCTGCCACAGTGACTGCAGAGTTTATCTCCTTGCACCCAAGAGGAGGGGACCCGGGAGGGGATGGGGGTGGCCCAAAGGAAGGGGGTTTTGCTTCTGAGCGCTGGGTAGGGGGGCTGGAGACCTGGTGCTGGGTGGGTGGGCTCTTTAGGGGAGGGCTGGGAGAACCTTGTTTTTTCACTGTTGGGGGGCTTAGCACCCTGGGGCTCACGGGGGGGCTGATTGGTGGGCTGGGGGAGGCGTGCACAGAGGAGGTACTTGGCTGGGCAGGTCTGGGAGGGGAGGCCAGGCTCGGGTGCATCCTGTCCATCCGGGGGGCCCAGTGTGTCCTGGCAGGAGAGGCCTTCCTGGCCACAGCAGGGTTTCTCTCCGGGCTCTGCCTCATGGCCTCGGGATCACACAGGCCTCGCATTGGTCCGGCCAGGCTGGATTCTGAAGTCCTGTTGTGTGCAGATGTGTGGCTGGCGTGATGCCCCGGGATGGCCTTCTGGGGACACTTGGACAGGCCTGCCACCTTGTCCGCTCGTGCCTGCCTCTGAGCCCCGTCACTCTCCCCCTCTGGGTTTTTGCTGGTTGCTGGCAGGTGGCTGAGGCTCGAGGCCAGCTTTCGGGCACTGTAGATGCTGCTGTTGCTCCCTGGCCCTGTGCAGCTGGTGGGCTTGGCACGCGCAGCACTGCTCCGGCTGGGCAGCAGGTCCATGGGGCGCAGGGAGGCTCTTAGCTTTGGGGAAGCCCACATCCTGTGTGCAGGGCCAGCCCCTCCCTGCCCTGGCACGAAGGGCTCTTCAGGGGAGCTCCTTGCTGGCTCACTGGTTTCTGGGGGCTCCAGAGAAGTGAAAGATTTGTCCATCAGAATTTCCAGCGGTGGTGGAGGGAGAAGCTCTGGGTCTTCCTCCCGGTCTGTGTTGACGTCCCCGCTCCTGGGTGCTCTTGCTGTGGGCAGAGGAGGAAAGATAGGGGCGAAGGGCCTCCCATTTGGGCCCACTTTGGGAAATCCTCTTCCTGCTGGAGAAATTTGGGGCTTTGAATGCGAAGGAGCAAGGCCAGGAAATCGGGAGGGTAGAATGGGGACACCCCACTTCCTGAGGCTGGGGCTTGTCCTGGAGTCCTGGGAATCCCCCAGTGTCCTCAGGTTCTCTGAGGAACTGAAAGTTTCGATGAGTTTCTTGACGGATGTTCTGGTGGGAGGGCCCGCCATGTTCCTGTCCTTGGCCCCAGAAGCCTCAATGGCCTTTTCAACTGCTGGGGTAGCCCAGGGAAGCCCCTCCGCTGTGCCCTGCCAGGGCCGGTCACCCTCAGTGTGGGGACCGCATTTTTGCAAAATGGTCTTGTCCTGACTTGGCAAAACGCTGAAGTTCTCGGCGAGGGATGCCTTCAGCTTGCGGATGGTGTTGCTCAGGGCAAGCCTGCAGCCGCCCAGCCTCAGAGCTGCTGCCCTGGCCTGAGGGGCCTGCACCTTGCTCTGCCCCTGCTGTCCAGTGCCCAGCCTGTAGAACACGTCCAGCCTCAGGCTGAGGTCCCGGTGGGCCCTCCGCAGCTCTTGGAGGGTGGGGTCCTTCACTTGGTTCTCAAGACAGGTCTCTGACTGGGACCTCCTCTGCCTGGGGGGGACCCTCCTGCTGCCACTCACCGTGCGCGGCCTTGGTGGGCGCAGTGCTGTCTTCTCCTCCTCATTCCAGTCCTGGTGCCCAGCGGGCACAGGAACAAACTTAATCCTTTCACTGATGGCTTCCTTCATCTTTAGAATCATTTCCTGGGCCTGGGGCCTCTTCAGTCTCTGGAGGTAAGGCTGAAATATAGTTTCTGCACCAGCTGGTGATGATCTTGGCCTTGGACCGGAAGCAACTTCCTGTCCTGCACATGGATTTGTGCCATTAGCTCTGTTTTCCTCTTCCTCTGGGCTGCTGTCCTCCCTGCTGAGCAATGGTGTGTCCATCAACCGGGAGCTTTTAGTAAGATGTGGCTCCACAGAGATCCCCAGCGCAAGGGAACGATACAGAGCATTATCGCTCAGAGTCAAAGGCCTGGAGGTAGTATTTTCTGGAACTGTGCTAGAGGGCCATGAGCTCTCTGCTGCACCCTGTGCTGCCAGCTGACTCTTTGCCGAAAGAAGCCTTGAGAATGGACAGTCCAGAGGTCTGTCTGAACCCACCCAGAGTGGCCTCTGGACATGTCCCGAAAGCCTGGCTTCCATGGTGGGTGAAGTCCTTGGCTTCCATTCTGCAGGCTCCGACACTAAGTCCCAGCTCGCTTGCTTGCCCAGCTTGTCTACCGGCTGCCCAGACTCACTGTCAGCGCCAATGCCACTGTCGTCAGAGCATAAAGGTAGACCCTGCACCCCAGGGTCATCTGGGCCGCTTGCCAAGCTCTCCAGTAGCTCCAGAGTTCTCAGGAGGCGTTCATCCGCACCCCTCTGGGTGCTCAGCTTATTTGCCAAGCAACTCGCCATGGAGTGGAGGTAGCTGCTGGAGCCCTCCAGGAGGCTGCCGGTCAGGGAGGCTACTGTGCCACTGAGCGCCTGCAGCTTGTTCGCTGTGTACTGCAGAAGCTGCTGCAGGAGATCTGGCTGCTCCTGGGGCTTTCCATTCCTCAAGGGCCAAGCCAGATCCCCCCCAACTTCCTGGAGGAGCACTTCTCCATCCCTGGCGATCTCCCCCAAGAGCTGGTGGACCTCATCAAAGCACAGCAGCAGGAAGCTGACCATGGGCTGTAGTAGCTCCTGGGTCCGCGTGGCCTGATGAGTGAGACACAGAATCGCTTCATACTTGGAGAGGCTGGAGTGCAGATAGGTGTACGCGTGCCGGTGGGCCTTCACCAGGGGCTCAGGGAAGTCCATCTGGCCTTCAGACGCCTGAGTGGGGTGGTTGGTTGGGCAGCAGTGGCCCTGTCGGCCCGAACTGTGGCGTCTTGGCTTCCTTTCCCCTTTGGAGGTCTCCTGGGTATTACTGTCTTCACTTTCCTCCCCGGAAAAGGCTGTCCCTTGTGACCCACGGGAGCTCTGCGCCTTGAATAGGACACCCTTAGCCCTGTGCCTCTGTGACTGGTTCACCTGGGGTGGGGAGGTTGTGGTGCCTGGGGCCGGTCCTTCCATGTCTTTCCTGCTGCCGGCAGTGGGATCTCCCGTGAGCTGCTCTTCAGCTGTGATTTGGGGCCACCTGAAATTTGGCTGCCCCTCTGCCAGCCTCTCTCTCTGGGCTAAGGTCCCTCCAGTGTCATAGCATGTGGAGTTCTGAATCAGCAAAGGATTGGAGCTTCTGTCACTGCCCCCCTGGTGTTCTGGCAAAATTGCTTTGGGCTTCTTGAAAAACTGGAAGCCACTCTTAGCGACGCTATTAACAATGTGGCTGTTGGAAGGTGTACACCCCATGATTTCAGCTTGTCATTTCCCGCCCACCACCTCCACAATTTTCAGAGAATAATATTTGAAATAGGAACAAAAGCCTGTCTTACTAGTCCATCCAGGCAATTTCCAGGCCAGAATCCTTAGAAGTCCATGGTACGAGATCCTATGCTTGGAACCAACTTTCTTGACTTCCTCTGCCCCACAGAGGAGAGGCTGGGAGGCCAGCCATCCTGCAGTCCTTCTGACATCAAACCTGCTGTACGCAAGCAGCAGGCGACTCCAGAGGACCCCGGTCTCATGGATCATGGGCCATGTTTTGCCTGTGTCCTGACAGATGTGGATGCAAGTGGAACTTTAAGCCTATTAGGTTAATCGTGCTCCAGCCAGTCAGCTCTCACAGTGTGTTCTAATATAGAACTCCTTGGCATTTACTATCTTGGGAAGCAGATTAGTTTTGCACGTGCTTATGCTTTTGGTTCTGTTCAGATGCCTGCCATATGAAACCCAGAGAAATGAGCCATAATTGCAAAAGGTTCTGGGAGAGACACAATTGTGGGAGCGAGGGGAGGGCTGGCGGATTACAGATCCTGCCGGAGACATGACCTTCATGGTTTAATAAGGGCAAACGAGCTGGGAGTGCAGCTACCTGCTATTACAGAGAAGACCCTCAAACACACAATAGCTGGTAATTGAAGCAATACATTCTTGTTTGTATGGCTTATAAAACAACATGGTTCTAGCGATGGAACTTCTCTAAATAAGACAGTGAGTAAAGAAGGCAAGGTGGTTTTCCTTTACCTTGGAAAAAGGAGCTAGCTAGAGGGACGCCATCCTCCTAGGTTTGGAAGGAAAAAGCAGAAAACCTCACTGCCACAGACATCTCCCTGGACCACAGAGCTCAGGGAAGCCATGTTCTCCGGGAAGAGGTTTTACAAGCTTCCCCATAGGAAAATGAGCTAAAACTGGCAATTGAGAGCTATTTAGTCATCAGGAGTAGAACCCAGCTTCTACCTCAATCTGAACTTGGTGTTCTTACCCTTGGGTAGTTGCCGCCCATTTTAAGGCCCTGTAGGGTAAGGAAAAATGCCAGGCTTTTCCGCCCTCCCGCCATCAGGACAGATGATGGATCCTTGCGGTCCTGAATGCATGCCTGATGGCGGGCGCCTGGAGTAGGGTGTGGGCATAGGTAGATGAGATTCACCTGGGCTGAGACTGGGCTTTTAAGGGTGGCATCATGGGGACGCCAGCAGAAGTCCAAAGAGAAGCCGAAGCAGAAGCCAAAAGAGAAGCCGAGAAAGAAGCAGCAGAAGACGAGAGAGAAGCAGAGAAGGCCGGAGATCCCAGATAAAGTGAAGACTTGCTGGGGGCTGGGAGGCCTGCCAGCCTCCCGGCCCCCCTGCACCCCTGCCTGCCATGTTCCTGGTAATCCCAATCAAAGACCTGCAAAAAGAACCACTGAGGACTCTGACTCCTCCTTTACCTGCACGGGATCAGAAAACCTGCACTGTGGCCTGTCCTGTCACTACAGGCCCTTTTTAAACTTTACTTGCTACAGGGAAAGTTCAGAGCAAGGATTTGGAATAGGGGCACTTGGGTTTAAACCCTGATCTTGCTTCTCCTTTTAGCTGGGGGAGCTTTGCAAGTTACCTGACTTCCTGAGACGCTGCTCATCTTTGAGATGGGGATGATGGTACCTCCTTGGAGCTGTTGTGAGGATCAAATCAACTTATACATTTTCACTTGCTGAGTGTTTGGTTCTGTGCCTGGCAAGTGGTAGGTACTAAAAAAAGAGAGCAACTAGGCCACTTATGATAATAAAAAGTCCTAAGGAAATTCATTAGCTTATCAAGGACCAAGCCTTGATCCTTTCCTGAATCGTCTGAAGATACTTGCTATTGAGTGGGCTTGGCGGCCCTGGAGCTGGGCTTTTTGACATCCTATACAAGAGCCCTGCTTGATGTCCTGTTGCCTTGGATTTTTCTTTAATTTCTCTGCTCTTAAAAGCACAATTTCCACCTACTGCAGAAGGAAAAGGGGCTTTTATTTAATCATTTTGCATTTTTGGACATTAAGTGTATCGCCAATTTTTAATTTTCCCCAGGGAAAAGTATTGCATCAAGCATCTCCTGAAATTGCTGAGATAGGGGTTGATATTCTGGTTTTATGCTTTTCATGTTCACTGTGTGCCTGTGCAACCCAGGGAAAAGCCGCCGGGGCATCAGGACGGCTTTAGGAATGGGAAGGGCTTGGAGACGCTGGCCCTCTTGGTTCTGCCCTGAGCCAGCTGGGGGCGGCTGCTGGGCTGGTGCCGATCACAGCCCTATGCCCCGGAGTGCATAATTAATAAAGTTCTCCGATCTGTTTATTTGAAGCAGGACTCTTGGGAAACGCTGAGTTGACTCAGTGCCTGGGGCCAGCTGCGTTTAGGCATCCAGGAGGCGTCTCCTTTGTCAGCACCGGGCTGGGCTGGGCTGGGCTGGGCTGGGCTGGGCTGAGCTGGGCTGGGCTGGTGGTAAACATGCACCTGTGTGAGAAGATTCTTCTCTCCATGTTAAAAAAGTGCAAAGCTGATCGAAGGGTCCCTTATGTGACATCCTCTCGCCCTAGGATTTCAACCTTGCTTGAATTGTCCTTGTGAAAATCTTTCATGTAGGTGGCTCGAGGGACCCAGAGACCAACCGTAAAGTATTGCTGGAGGGTCTGTTGTCAGTCCAGACTGGTCTTCTCAATATGCCAAATCATTTAGGAAGCTCTTTATTCATCGCACTTAGTTTTCATTAAGAATAACTTTTTTTTCTGATTCAAATTGGGTTTGCTTCAAATGAAAGAAAAGAACTACTTTAAGCAGGAATGTAAAGTGATCAAGCTACTCTGGAAAACTGATGGTTAAACCTGCACCTGCACCTCTGGAAAACTGATGGTTAAACCTGTAACAGGGGGTGCAGGTTTAACCATAGATTTAATTCTAAGAATTTACCCAAGACTGAAGAATCATAGGTCCTCGGGCCTCCCCGGTGGCGCAGCGGTTGAGCGCTGGGTTGCGAAGCTGCCCGCGGCCTCTGCGGCGCCGGTTCAATCCCCGGTTGCTCCCCGGCCTCCCGAAGAGGGTCCCACATGGTGCGCAGACCTCTCCTGCCGCCCGCTGCTCCCCTCAGCAGTGTCCTTCGGTCCTTCTGCCTGCTCTGCTCCCCGCTCTGGCTCTGGTGAATTCTCTCACCCTCCCGCGCTTCTGACTGTACCCAGTGCATGTATAAACAAAACAAACAAACAAACAAATAAATAAATAAATAACATGCCTCTATAAAAAAAAAAAAAAAAGAATCATAGGTCCTCAAAAGGGACCAGCACAGGTTATTCATGCTAGCTTTTTCAAAATAGCGTCAAATGGTAAATAATCCGAATGTCTATCAACAGGGAGATAAATAAATTTGGCATAATTGCACAATGGATTACTCCCTAGCAAACCCAGGAGCAAACTACTGAAACATGCAGCCAAGTGAAAGAAGCCAGTCATAGCAGCACACGCTGCAAGTTTCCTTCATGTGAAGTTCAAGAACATGCCAAACTAATCTATAGTTACAGAAACTCATAAAGTGGCTACCTCTGGGGAGAGTTAGTAATTGGCTATGGGCATGCTGAGTTTCTTAGAGTAATGGAAATATTTTATATCGATGAGGCTATGCTTACATGGCTATATAAATAGCTGAAAACCTTTGAGTTGTATACTTGTGTTCTCTCTCTCACCCCTAACTAAAACTCAGCATTTCATGATTTATTCTGTGCCTTTAAGAGTCTCAGCTATAACATTCCTGGTCTTGGGAAAGCCTCCCTGTATTAGTTGTGTATTGTTGCATATAAATTACCCCCAAATACAGCATGTTAGCTCAAAACAGCTAACATTACTTCTTTATGAAATGTTATGTTTCTGTGGTCCAGGAGTTTGGGAGCAGAGAAAAATTAGGCTCCACCTTCCAAAAGTCACTAAAAGAACCACAACAACAAAAGGCCTGGATAGATCCTATCAACCATGGCATCCAAAACATAACCATGCAATAAACATTGGTTTACTGAGGCTAGTCCTTGTCCTTTAGCTTATTAAGTCTACACTATTTTCTTTTTTTCATTTGGCTGAATTAATTGATTAGCAAAAGATGGTTGACCCAAGACTGAAGGTCATTTAAACAAATTGAAAAATGTCTTATCTCTCCAGTTCTATTAGCTTCACCAGTGAGTTCTCCTGAACCTGAAAAGTGAAGAAAATTTTCTCGGGAGCCAAGGATCAGGCAAACCTGGTCCTTTGGAGTGAGGGATGTGCTTTGCAATATTCCCTGGTCCAGAACAGGCAACATTCAATTTTTTTTTTTTTTTTTGCCACATTAAGATTATCCTTTATGTTTTTAGATAATTTGGGGCTAGAATCTTCACACATGTACTGAATGGAAGACTGGGTTATTGAACATAAGTAAATCAATTTAGGGATTTCTGAGAAAATCTGATATGGTGTAGAGGACTCAATGAATACAATTTAGTTAGATATTCTTATAGATTGAATGTGTGTCTCCTCAAAATTCATATGTCAAAGACTTAACCCCCAGGGAGCCTGTACTTGGAGTAAGGAACTAATAAAGTTCACTCACAGTGCGTTCTCTCCCTCCACTCATGCACAGAGTGGTTCTACAATAGTCCATTAGAGAAATGGTCACAATTAATGAACATTTAGGTTATTTCTATTTTAACTAATACCAAAATATTGTCATAGTAAAATCTTTGCTTACATTTCTGCAGGATAAATTTTGGAAGGTGCAATTGCTTAGCCAAAGAATGTAAACATTAAAAAGTAATCATCTCACTTTTCTAGAACACTTTTAAGTTTACAGAAAAATTGAACAGTGTTCCCATATACTACCCTTATACATATTTTCTCCTGTTATTGACAGCTTACATTATTAGGGTGGTACATTTGTAACAATGAATGAACCAATATTGATACACAATTATTAACTAAAGTCCATACTTTATTCTGA